CGGCAAAATCAGTGAATATACATGAAAAAAACATACATCACCGTCGAACATATAACCTCCTCTTTTTCGATTTTGAAGCCGGTTAAAAATTAATTTTAACTGATACTATGATGCCATCCCACCTAAATATGATTCGACGCATCATCAACAGCGTCCTAATTGGCTAAAGACCGTAAATCGTAATAAAGTAAACGACGCGATTTTGTCCTTCGATGTTTTTTTAGATATCCACGATCGAGCGACGCCTTTGTGACGTCAAGACAACGCCGCCAGGGCGTCATTTCAGCAACAATTGAAAATGTATTCAATTATAGTCTAAGAGATCGTGACAAAAATGTGCTAGAGCCTTCGAAAGCTTGATATTTCAGTGTTTTAAATTAGGTAGGGTATATATCACTCGGTACCCAGTGCGGAATGATTTCAATTTAACGATAAACTTATTCTTCATATAAAAAAGTACACTAAACTGCTCATATTGCTCAATCTACTCTTTTTAAAATGATTTCTTTAAGTAATTTCAATTTGTCCTGTTAGGTCCTGGTCAGTGGTTAGAGTAGTCGCCCGGATTGCTAAAGGTCATGGGTTCGAGTCCCACCTCAGAGTGCCAGGGATAAAGTAGATTATTTATGCATTTCTCATTAAATATATTTTGCAGTGTAGCATTGTGAATGCAAAATTTGTAAAAATAATACTTTCGATTGTTTGGGTGGACCTGAACATTGATGAAAATACGCTCTGTATTAGCGACTAGCTCATGCCCGCGACTTCGTCCGCATGGTAAAGTTACTTTGGGCAGCAGTTCTAAAACGAATATTGAATCATTATATCATGTAAAATACTTGAAATAAAGTTTCATGGTGTTGTCTTTGACAATAACAAACTTTAATTCTATACAACCCTTTTATTACAAAAACAACCTAAGTATGACCTATCTCAAGTCGACTTTGTTTAGAGGGTTAGACGTGAGAGAAGTAACTGACATAAACACAGATTTATTTCGCATGTATAATATATGTATGTATGGAATAATTTAATGATTCTCCTTGTCGCTCATTATTTCATATAATAAGAGATTACCAGACAGTTACCGAAATAAATATACTATAAAAAAATATAAATCACGATTCTTTGGTCGACTTTTAAACTCACAACTGTTAAACTTCAAATGCAAATTTTAAATTGTTTATATTATAATGAATATGTCGTAGACAACTGGGTAAAAGAAGAGAGAGAAAGAAAAACGCGAATCTAATGTCCACACAAAACTTAATAGAAAACTAAAATATACGCAATTTTTTTATTAACAAAACGATTATGCAGTTTAGTTGAGATTAAACCCCATCACAATCATCAGCCCCACTGCAAGGGCTCTGGTCTTCCTTATGGATTGGTTGAATAAGATGGACCATGAGCCTCCACACTGGTCCAATGCGGATTAGAGGGCAATAATGACCGCAAATGCAGCCGAGATCAACGGCATAACGTGCCTTCCAAATCACGGAATAGCTCAAGATAATAAATTTTTGGTCACCCATCCCTTGACCGACTCTTCTTAAACTTGCTTAACAACAACGTTCGAGGCGCTTATTCACCATACTACAGAGTTACTCATCCGTATAGCAAAGCATAAAATTCTTAGTAAATTTTATTTGAAAACTTGAACCAAAACAGTGCGATGACTAACCGCCATCTAGTATATCACAAAATGTCTAGATTGCGTTTACTTTCGCACATAAAATTATTTGTACTTGAATATTTTAAAAATGATTTATTTCTAATATAATTTTTGTTATCAATTATGTACTCAAATACCAATTTTTATCTCTATAAAATAAAATATTTTGTAAATAATATTAGGTAATTTTATTACAATGACAAATCAGATTGTAAACAATGGTTGCTATGGTAACATTTTGATTCCCCATAAAATCTTTAATTCCCATTTTTATTCCTTTAAGTGCTAATTTTCTGGATAAAATATAACCTATTACCTTCCTAGGGTCATACACTACCCAAATACCAATTTTTATCGGCATAGGTCTATAAACAAAGAAGTTTCATACAAACTTTTTCACCCTTTTTGACCCCCTTCGAGATGGAATTTCCAAAAATCCGTTCTTAGTACTCCTCTAGGTATTAAAGGGAATGTTCCCTCAAAATTTCAAGTTTCTACGATCAGCGGTTTAGGCTGTGCGTTGTCTGTCCGTCAGTAAGTCGTGCTTGAAAAAATTATCAGTCCTGTTAGGTCCTGGATAGCTCAGTGATTAGAGCAGTCGCCCGACTTGCGGAAGGTCAGGGACAAAGTAGATTTTTTAAGCATTTTTCATTAAGAATATTTTCAGCATAGCATTATGAATGCAAATTAATCATCGTTAATAATCTAAAATATTGTTCTCCAAAATTTGCCAATTGTTATTTAGCGTGCAAATATTTGTATTCATAATTAGAATGTGAATATAATATTTTCATTTAAATTGTAAAAATGATAACAATTCATCACATGTCCATGTCATATTTTAAAAGTAGAAATAATTATACATTTAAATGAAGTACTCGTAATATTAAGAAATAAAAATCTTAATAATCAATTTATGACCACAATTCAATTAGTAAGTAAATGTCATTTACGCGAAAATTATTCATTTGTTGTATAAAATTTAACTGTCAATTAACCAAGCATGTAGTTTTATTTTAAAAACAGATCCAGTCAGTGATTGTATCTCCTCTGGTAATACATTAAATATTTTACTGCTCTTATAGTAGCATTTTGTGCAACCAAAGTCAATTTACGGTTAGGTATGTATTTCTCATCATTTTTTAGCAGGAAAGAATTGGGGATGCTCTTTAACAAATACACAGATTTGCATAACATAGAATCTAATCATCGAGAGTAGTTAGAATTTTTTAAATAATGGTCTACAAAAGTTGACTTAATCCACCTCAGACACGCTTTTATCTTAAAAGCTAACTCTGTATTAAACCGTATTGAAGGACATACTGCAAGTAAGCCGTTTTACTCAGCCTCCGAAATCTGTTGCTTTTTTTAACATACGCGACTTATATGAGATTTCCAACTACAGTTTTTTGTCAAATTAATACCTAAAAAAATTTAAAAAGTCAGTTTCTTCGACTTTTTGAATAATTTGTCCTTCATTGAAGACTGGTACGTACAAAAATGCATTAATTTTGTTTTCTTGATATTAATTTTTAAATTACTGTCCTTCAGCCATTCAATTTTTATCTGTTATACGGCCATATTTATTTCATATTCTAGATGTTCTTCTTGAAGGCTAACAAGCCTTTTAAACTTTTCAATGGACAAAGAATTTTGAAAATCAATTCACAAATTTGAGATAAAATTGGTGAACATTTATAAAAACATACAATCCCGTCAAAGACAGATTTAGAAGTCAGTTAAAATATTTAAAAAAATAGTGTGTCTATGTTCCTATCTCCTAGAAACCAGTACCGTACATTTTTAGACGTACAACGATTGTATGTTTAGTATAAAATTGTGTTTAATACCGATAACGTATGATGTGTGCACATACGATGAACCGTTAATACAGGGCAACACGTTTTCCAACTACTGTTTATTTACTAAAGAAGATTACTCATAGCGAATCTCAAACACTCGCCTTCGCTCTACAGCCACGAACTAACAATAATGATGTAAAACAATTTAAATCGAAGTCCAATGTATTGTTATAACATTTCTTATTGTTAGCATATAATAGGAATAATGAAAAATAAAAATCGTGATCATGCTTCAGCTATTTTAAACAAAATCCTAATGTTTCCGTTTATTTTATTCAGAAAGCTTACCACCAGCGGATTCACCCGCGTGGTCTTGTATCATACATAAAAACCTTCCTTTTGAATCACCCTATCTATGAAAAATAAAACGCATTAAAATCCGTTGCTTAGTTTTGAATATTTAAGCATACATAGGAATATAGGGACAGAGAAAGCGACTATGTTTTATACTATGTAGTGAAGAAGAATAGACTATAAAATGTGGCAATGCTATGAAAATAAACGAGATATGTTCTTAACGCTTCGTTTTATTTTACTTCGTTTTATAAAAATTTCCCCTTATCAGTTATTCATAAAAATCGGACATTAACCGAAAGATCTCTACAAATCTTTACTGACATTCTCACTCGCAACTCGCATTCTCCGAAGGTCCTATATAAAAATATACAAATTATAATAACGAAGGACCAGTGGAAATACCAAAGTAAATTAATTCCTGAGAAGTATGACTAACCCATTGACTAAAAAATTATACATTGCCATAATAATAAATTATTATCCTTATTATATGTTTAATCCTGCATCTATTAGCTACACATTGCGATTGTAATTCGTGCATGGTCCATGTAAACAATGAGATACTGAGAAGATAGTGATGTCACCAAAGTCTTTATTAATAACTAGCGGACCCGACAAACTTTGTTCTGCCTAATAATCAATAAATGATCAGAGTTTGGATTTTAAACTAAATACTAAAATAATAACTTTAAATAAACCATTGACAACAACATTACCTGAAATATCAGATAGATAGATCAGATATTCGCACAGAAACAACCAGTGTTGAATAATATAAACCAAGCAGGATACTCAATATGTTAATTAAATAAAAAACAAAATATCAGTTAATCCTTATTAAAACTATTTATGATGTTCTAAATATATGTTTCATATTTATTAAGTAAAATTTATAATTCTGTAGATTTTATTTCAGATATGGTTTTGAATTAGCTTTATTTTTGTTAGATTAAATTATCTTTGAACTTAAGTTATAGTGCAAATTTCATGAAAATCGGTTTGATATTATTATTCATAAACACACAGACAAAAGTAAGAAATTTTGATACAAACACAATTTGCCTATATTAGATTTACAAATCGATATTATAAAGAAATAGAGATTTTAAAACGTCATACCCGTAACCTATATCACAATATTTGTTTAGCTGAGACTGAGAACTCACCCAAATGTCCACCAGATGTCGAGGCACATGACGTTCAACCAAGCGAAGGCAGCCACGAAACCAAAGTAGATGCCATACCCTGTACAAACAATGAAATCCCGATAATTGATCAACTCCAAGCGGTACCGTATGCAATACTTTTGTTCTCATTCTCACCTCGAAATGTGCTGTATGTCTTATTGTAAATAAATTAACAATCTACCGCACTTCCCAAAATTGACGAGAGTTTTTTTCCTCTAATATTAATATAAATAATTGATATTCTACTTGCTTTTATTGTTGTCACAAAACGATCAGTGGTTTTAATTTAAGTTCAGTTACGCAATTTGCTCATGTTAGCGTAATTATGGAGAGTCAATAGCACTTCAACTACAATCCTTTTTGACACACTTCTTGTTACAAGATCACAAAATAATAAATATCAAAACGTTGCACTATTATTGGACTTCGAGTAGACAGTACAATGGCAAATTGCGAGTAAATGAGATATTATATAGAGGCAATCATTACGTATAAATGAGTAAGTGAAGCCCGGTTTATGCGCAATGTTTTAGTATATGATTCTTCAAAATATTTTATTATTTATTATCATTTGTGTAATTAGCAACGAATGACAATATAATGCAAATAATTTTTACGCAAAAACCTAAATTGTTATGATATATAAATTCTCGTCACTATCTCAGTAACTTTGTGTTCGAGGTCAAAGTAACTTCCTTTTACTCTTCAAATAAGTACTTGGTAAACGTAGAAGTACTTTTTAGAGTGGTCATCTTTTAAATCTCAAAACATTTGCCTATTGCTCGTGGCAGCGTGTCGTTTATCACGTGTGGGCCTTCGTGGCAAATAATCTTAGTGCACAAAATTTAAATTCTAATCAATAAACTAAACCGTACCCGGATGCTCTTCGCATTTTCTCGAAATTATTAAAAACCCTACGGATGACTGCTCCACCTATACTTGGGTTTACAACCGTGACTCTTTATAAATGACTATTTTCCCGCGACTTATGCGTAAATTTTAATGTCCTCCCTAAGTTTAATGTAGCTTGCCCTAAATTAAATAATTTTTTAAATCTGTCTAGTATATAAACAATTTTTTCCTTTTTATAATATTAGTATAGATGCAACAATAAACCAATGTATATTAAATACGTTCTAAAAAATATTTTCCCTTGGTCACGCCATTACACGTGAATGACTGGACCGAGTTCGCTAATTCTTTCTTGTTATATTTTATGGCCAGGAGAAGGTTCTTATGGAAGAAAACAAGACGAAAATTAAATGGAAAATTGTAAAATTTTAAAAATATTTAACCACAAAATAAAATGATTTCACATAATAAAACATATAAACCTTTTTAAAGTAACCTTACGACATTTGATATAGAATTGACAGAATGCGTACTGCAAAATTTAATACCTAGTTAAGACAAGACAACGTCTGCCGAATCAGTTTGTATGAAATAAAAAACCACCCAAGTACGAGTTAGACTCGTGCACGAAAGGTTTCATACCATTTTCCATTAGGAAAATTTTAAAAAATCAAACATGATTGTTGTTTTCTATGGAGTTGTTCGAAATGTTTCAGTTAAATACAATTTGTCGTCTATTACTTTATAACCATAAAAACCATACTCACCTAATGCTACGCAGAGATTTTCATTTTTCACGTGATTGTATTGTACACGTGCAAGACAAGAGTATGCGAGCAGCATGGTGCTGACGTGGCAGATCAACGTGAGCCCATGCAGGTTCCGCAACTCGGGTATAGAGCAGTACACCATCAAGGTCAACGCCAAACAAGCCGCTGATATTGAAATGAGCTGTATACAAAATAATGATTGTTTAATAAAGGTTCATTCAAAGAAATTTAATTCTTTACATTATATCACATTATGTTAATATTTGCGCAATAAAAAAATATGTGATGTGATTCCTTTCTACATAATTCACCGTTTTCTCTTTTTCTTGCAAATTTTTTTTCGTTGGGTTTATAGGTGATTTTTTACTAAGTTTCTTGATCAAAATATACCGTTAAAATGTTTACGATAAATTTTAAAATTAAACACTAACCGACACCTACAAACAAACAATGATGTAATTCCAAGCTACTCAACATCAATTAAATCCACTTAGATTTTAAGTTAATGACACAAGCACGAAGTTTAATTATTAGTCCTGGTAAATTCCATATTAAAAAGAATTTTTATTGAAAGTTTATTGTCTAAAAAGGTATCTGTCTCAGTTTTTGGTGCTCAATTATTACTTATTATCTGCTTATCTAACATTTAAAGTACGAACATAATATTATTGCAAAAGGAAATCAATGTTGTTGTTTTATCGGGTTCAAATTAACCTCATCCGAGGGGTGGTAAACGATACGTTTGGTTTACTGTACCTACGGTGTTGCGATTTAAACAATTACAATTTTAGCATAAAACAAAGAACATGAAATACTTTTCTTAGAAATTGAGCAACGTGTGTGATGTTAACGAATAATACTTATATGTCGTTTTAAATGTCATGGTAATTTATATTAGTACTATAGTTTTTTACGGGATTGCTACCATACATCTTATTTTTGTTGGGTTCATGATATTTCGGCTCTTTTGTTGGAATATGAACCCATACCATAGTGAACAGTGGTACGTGTATCGAACGTAATAGGACTCGAAAGAAGGTAGATAAAATGTATCTACCTATTACACCTACCCGCAAAAACTTCAATTATTCCGTGATCATGGCGCTTTCAACATCGCCGAATTATACTTAACTCATTTTCATTTAAATATCTCCTTTTCGTTTATTCACAATATACTTAAGTAGGCTGTAAAAACTCTCTTAAATTAAGATTTCAAAATAAGCGTCTCGACACCACCCTGTTATTCAATCTATTAGCAATTGATAAGTTAATAAAGTGAATAATGAATAATGTAATAATAAAATATTGATTAATAATAGTTAAAAGTATAATGGTAGATGTGATAATTGTTGTTTATGATTGTTTGTATGTAGTTTTTTGGTACTGTTTTTTATTTGTTTTTTTTTTTTTATTATTATTAATTTTGTTGTGAGCTCGAAGAAGTTGGCGTCTACCTGCCGAGAAAACGGCTAGGAACCAATTGAAAATCAGCGTCGGGTTCGATAAGGACCTGATAAATTGCTGAATTGGCTACCTTTTTTGTTGCAGCTGTGAGACACAAAATCAATCCAGCCCTATGTGTAATTTTTCTTTTCAAATTAATTGTATCATTCAAAACCTTTGACAATTTTATGTATGTTTGTAGTTTGTCTCATGTCTGTGGCGAAATAAATCTATCTCTCTCTCTCTCTCTCTCTCTCTCTCTATTACTTTTATATATTTTTTTATTTTTATAAATTCCATTCAGTCTCCCATAGCATCATAATATACTTTTTTTGCATAAAACATGTTTTGTCATGGTTTTAGAAAGCTATCGTTAGGTATTAGTAGTAATATTTTTTCAAACGAAACTTCACTGTTTTGCTTATAACTCTAAAAATAAATCTTCAATTACTGTTCAAGTAAATTTGAAGGAGAATTTGAGCTCTGAATAAATAATAATATTTATATGTAAGCCTATTACATTAAATAACGTAACATGTTTAAAAACATCCATCAACATAAAATCTTTAGCAAGTGCGTCGAAAAACAAATTAAAAACAAGCTTTATTAGAAATTGCCAAGTATTTCAAGAATTTCCTAGCTGTTACTTCTTTTAGTGGCAGCACAATTATACATAAACTATTAGAAGATTATTATTTTTGAATATACTAAACTTTTGAATATTTCATTTTAACTGAAGCACAACGCCAGTGAAATGAAATGAAATGAAAATATCTTTATTCAAGTAAGCTTGTTTCAAGGACTTTTGAATCGTCCAAAAAAATGTTTTTCCCCTACCACTTGTTCAGGACGTCTTTTAGCTGACAAAAAGAACAAGCCAAAGAAACTTACCAGCTCTTAATCATAAGTAATGACATTCGCATAAATCATGTCATAACCAAAATATTACGTATTATAACAATAATAATACAAGTTTCTAGGACATAGGTTGATACATATAATGTAATTTTACCATTATAAAACAAAGCGAAGCCTGCAGTCCTTAAAATAATCATCAACTTTATAATAGCTTTTACTCATAAATAAGTTCTATACATGAATTTTAAATTTATTTATGAGTAGGTCAATTACAGGTCGTTTAACAGTTCTAATTAAGTGGCAAAGTGTAAATTTATGTAGGTACGTCATTTTCGTCTTTAGGTCACCTAGGTAAGTACTTAATTTCATCACAAATACTAACTTAATCCATCCAGAAGTTTTTGAGTAAATTAGTTGCGATAAACAGACGGACAGACAGATAGACAAGGAAGTGATCTAATAAGGAGTTTTTTCCTTTTGAGATACCCTAAAAACGACAAAAAATATTTAGACATATAAGTGCTTGTTAAGCAAATTATAATAAATACTGACAATCAAACGTTTTGTCTAAATTAAGGTATCCTGCCTTTGCACCAAAATTTTTTTGGACAATTATAACTTGCCAGTCAACATTTCGCCTATGTTTCACTTTGACAACTAACGATTAGCAAATTTTTCACTAGGTAGCATTATTGTTAAGCTAAATATTATAAAGACAAAAACGTTCGGGACATTATCATTCATAACATCTTTCACTAGGTCACACAACTATTAAATTCAGTGTAACGTTTCGTCGGTGTATCGATTCCCTTTTTAACCAACTTCATCTTACCTTGACATGATAATAAAAAATAACCTATTTTAAAAATTAAATATATATGCAATATATTTTATTTTTTAATTTCTAAAATAACATTGAAGCTTTGAATTGGCAGCAATGCATATAAATAATATTTCCTCTGAGTACATAGATTTGGGTTCAAGAATATTCTAATAAGTTTAAGTACAGAAAAATATGGGTTAGTTAGGTTATGGCCGGTGAAGAATCAGAAGCGAATCGCTTTTGTAAAAGGAAAGAGTTTAGGGCACATTAAAGAATAGGTATGATCATATTAAGTTGACTATGAGACTGACAGGAGGAGCATATTAGGTAGACTATGAGAATCGACTCAATACAATACTTGATAAACAATAAAGTACTCAATGAAAATTACGCTGACTAAAACATTTTGCCACTTGAAAGTTGTCATTTTGAAAAGTCGTTATAAATAAATAGCAGACCAAACGTATATATAATATCAGGGAGGTTGGAAAAGAAAATTATACGAAACGTTAATTGGCAAAGTGATAATCGGCTAAACAATTTTCATCAAGAAATCTAAATAAATTATTTATTCATATGTACTAATAATCGACATTATAATCACAACGTATTTATAAAGTGAAAAACTTACCACAAAGGATATTCTGAAATCTTTGACGACAGGTGGTTTGACGAAACATAGGACTGCGGTGACGTAGACCTCATCGTTGCAGGATCGAGAGTCGAAAGCCTCCAAGCAGTAATCGTTAGTCAAAGATAGAGGTGAGAGAAGCCAGCCTTCTTTTGTTAGCGTATGCCGGTCTTCAGCTTGGGAAGAGTTTAATGCTATTTTTCCAGCTTTGCATTGTACTTCTGAACGGATACCCATGATATCTGAAAACATTATGCTGATGAGATTTATAAAATTGTTTTTACTAATTAGATCTGTAAGAAGTCTTTCGTCAATCTACTACATATAATAGTATCTACATAACCTCTTACAATTTTCTATTTATAAGTAAGTATAAGTTGTAGTTGTTGTAAATATAAATAAGAGTAAGTTGGTATATGTCGAAAAAGAGAAAAGTCATGTAGAAAGTGCGCCTGGGCACTTATCCCCGGGCACACACACATAGCAAACATTTTTTAACATACTGAACTACCCACAGTACCAATTAAGACCAAGGAACTTAAATACTACATACGAGAAGCTTGAGTGTCCTTACGTACTCGTACAAATGGCACTTAAAGGCATATTTTATTTCCCTAAAAACGATATATAATGATATATTACTATTTATATGATTATCATTTATTTATATATTTCTATTTTTAATGAACAATTTATGCACTTTGTCCCTGGCACTCTGAAATGGGACTCGAACTCATGACCTTTCGCAATACGGGCGACTGCTCTAACCACTGAGCTACCCAGGACCTAATAAGATAAGACTGACGAATTTTTCGAGCACTCGTGACTTTTTCACTACTACAAAGCGTATTTTCACAAATGTTCAGGTAATCCACCCAAACGGCCGAAATAAATATTTTTACAAATTTTTAAACCCGATAAAATAAAAAAAATGTTCTAATTATTTATATTTGATTTATATTTGACCTATATATATATATATATATATTTAAATAATATTTATAATATTTTAAATAATAATATTTGATCAATTTTACATTCACAATGCGCATTGTATTTACAAAAATTTATGAAATATAATATAATTTATATATATAATTATTTTAGAAATGCTGTTCTGAATCCAAAGAAACACATTTTCGATAACTTGTGATGTAACGGAAGATGGATCTGGACAATGTCTCTGATGCACAGATAATTTTCACGCATATGATTTTAATAAAATTATATGAATGATTCAAAAATTTCTGATTTTGTGTTAGAGCACAAACAATATAGGCCCTCAAGTAGGTAGGTCGAGTTAATTCGTATGAGTAATAATTACCAATCTATCGCATATTTCATTAATTTCTATATCTCTTACCCTATAACCCTAATGGTTTCTGTATTGCAATCGTCCTAAAGAAGTGGTATCACAATAATAAACGCTTTATTACATTCAAAATAACATAGCCTCCAATAATAATAAATAAAAAGCCGGCCTTATTACTATATATGAATATCTTAATGAATAATTTAATCAGGAGCCTATTCGTTGCAAACAAACAAACAATGAAATCTTTCCTCTTTATAATATAACCTAACATTCTCATAATGAATTGCTAAAACTTAACCACTAACTACCATACGCAGAAATGTCCTTAAACCTTAATTATTTGCTAAGAAAATCGTATAGTACTAAATGCGATACAAATACAGATAGTTTTTTGAATGCAATAAAAAAAATCTTTCACGTCTCTAAACTCGAAGACAGCGTCTACAAATTTTGCTCACTCATAGTTCTGCGTCGAAACTTTTTGTAAGAACTCAGAACTGTTTAATTGCAGACACAGAATTAAAATTCGTTCAACCGTGCTAATAGAGTTTTTAATATATGTAGGTACTAGTGGACGCCCGCGACTTCGTCCGCGTGGAAGTCGGTATCCCGTGGGAGTGAGAAGTTTTCCCAGTAAAAAGTACCCTATGTGTTATTCTGATGTATAACCTATATTGCTGTAAAGTTTTATCCAAATCCGTCCAGTAGTTTTTTCGTGAAAGAGTAACAAACATCCATACATCCATACTTACAAACTTTCGCCTTTATAATATTAATAGGATAGATAAATCTTAACAAGTAATTAATCAACTGATTTACTGGAAAAAATTGTGGTTAGTGCACAACACTTTTCCATTTTGTTAAAATATCGTTAATATAATTGTATTACATAAACTTTGTATATATATTGTAATGCAGCGCATACGCATTTTTGGATTACAGTCTAGGACTCAACTGTGCGATTTATTAAATGTTTATTGATTGATTGTTACCTGTATTGTGTGCAATTATTATAATAATTAAATGAATATATTCATTAATTTTACCGTATATCTAATCCATCGTTAAACAAACAGGTTATAAGTATTACAGTGTCATATCTAGATTTAACATGCTAATATTAAAACGTGAAACACTCGATTTCTTTAGCAAATCCACTAAGCCAATCTTAATGAAAGGAGATTAGTTACAGTCACAGTCAGTAGAAAATATACTTAATGTCTTTGGTGCTGGCAATGCTGCCCAAAAAAAGAAAAAGTAATATTACAGGAGCCAAACTGTACAACAATTGCCGTTTCGATATTGACATTTTGAAATCTAAATTAGTGCATGTAAAAGATGTACCTACAGTTATTTTTTGATATTATCGTTTACTTTCTTTGGCACTTTTACGATTATAGGAGATCCTAAATTTTAACTGACATAAACAATTTTGCTGGCAATGCTGCCCAAAAAAAAGAAAAAGTAATATTACAGGAGCCAAACTGTACAACAATTGCCGTTTCGATATTGACATTTTGAAATCTAAATTAGTGCATGTAAAAGATGTACCTACAGTTATTTTTTGATATTATCGTTTACTTTCTTTGGCACTTTTACGATTATAGGAGATCCTAAATTTTAACTGACATAAACAATTTTGCTTTCAAAATGCTTTATTGAAAAATATTATTAAGAAACAAAAAATCATGGGCATGATATCAAATGAGAGTGGTACCCGGATGTAATCACCGGGAAAGTAACTCCTGTGTAGAGGGCATTTTTCTGGTCCCCACCTTAGGGGTAGGAAAGGCTTAGAGCATGAATAAGCCATTCCCAGTAGGGTGAAGTCATGCAATGCTCGGTCGATTGCCAGCCGCCCGTGCTGGCTCCAGCAGAAGGAGATATGCTTACACCAGCTCCCTCTCTTTCCCTTCTGTGTTGAGAAGGTGTCTATATTGTGGGGCTGAAACCGGCGGGCTTCTTGTCGGGTCCCGGGTCTGGGGTAATCGCAGCTTACCAGGTACGCTGGCCTCGCTTAAGCATGTCCTTTTCAGGACGGGTGCGGGGTCGGAGAGTCCTGATTTAAAGGTCAACATTGCATTTCCCCTGCGTTAAAAAATATCTGTCTATATTGAAGCAGGCGAATATATTGTTGTTACTTCAGATAAGGGCTGGTAAGGGTGGTTGGCCTACCTGGTAAAACCCGCTGCGAGTTACCCTCGATAGGGGGAAGGATTCAGAATCTAGAATTCGGAACTTATTAGAACTCTGATGTCTTACAAAATATCGAAAATATTGCCTATTGAAATAAGTTGCATGTGACAAAGTATTTAAAATGAAGTGAATTAGACTCTTTTTATTTTTTTAATGCATATTCACAAAAATAAAATACCTCGCATTCATTCACTCGTGCACGAAATCGTGAATAAAATTTATTTATTAATAAATATGAATATTAATCTTACATCTTTTCTTCTAACTAATGCAATTAACTAATTATGACCTATGTTTTATAAACACACGCCAACGCACTTCCGGGTTTTTCTTTGAATCAATTTTACTTTACGCAGATTGATATTTCAGTTTACTTTGATATTCTAGTGAAGGAAGCTTCCGTGATGTGATTATTTGTAACGGAACCGTTACATTCCTTTACGTTAGCTCATTCACTATACCGTAAATCGAACAAGATGCATTATAAAAAACTCGTCTAATCGGCAGTCACAAAATGCTAATGATTGCTTGCTTATATATATCGTCAAAATAGGTATAATTAGATAGTTCTATTTTTGGTTGTGATATACTTGACTACAATGAACTTTTACCAAATTACCCAAATTGACAAAGTTTCTATTTTATGAATGAGCATTGTGTCCACTACCTGCCAACTTTTATTGAGTCACTTATCCAAACAACCTGATTCCATTTCGGCCTACGCATTCCTGTCACAATTTATTTATATCATTGTACAAAATACATAATAATTTATATCAATATAAATAAAACTACTATTACCAATATTATAATATCCGAATAATTTATCGGATGACATTTGTGACCACTCCCCATGATGTTGGAAACGTGCAAAACCAAAGAAGTTTTACCGGTTTTTGCATCAGGAAACAATCTAAGACACACGCTGCGGATACCAGTCGAGATCCATACACTGACCATAGCCCATATTTCTTGATATACTGTTTTCATAAATTATATTAATAATAGTATAAAAGCTGCATAATATTTGGCAAAAATATTTTTTTCTGTGCAGTGCTTCGCTTGTTTCTTGCTAGATGAAGAATAGAAGAAAATAAAGAAGAATTTCTTTATTTCCTTCTATTTTACTATCATATCAACATTTTATGTGCTTGGATATTATACTGCTTCATGTAAGTAAGCTGAATTATTTATTTTGGAGTCTAACTCGTATATTCTTATGCAATTTCATGGCTCACTGCTGTAAAGATTAATATAAGTCATCTTTCAGACTAATTATAAATAACTATCGCCACAATATTAGTAGTCAGAAATGTTACCATATTTTAGAGTTTGATGTAAAGTTGGAAACCCAGGAAAACGGACGCAGTAATACTATAGTTATTTCTTTTTAAGTATTTCTTCAATTTAACAACCAAAGTACCGAATCACTTTTTATTAAAAACATATAATAAAAAGTAACTCGGTACCGTCGCGCAGTGTAAAGAACCGCAGAGTCGTGACATAAGAAAAAATAAACCCAGGACACTGCTTAAAAGTAATCTCAGGAAGACATGACATCCTAGAAATACAAGACAATTAGCAACTCTACCCAACATAGATCTGCGCTTTGAGCAAACAGTTCAGTATTTAAAGTATAGAAAGCTAATGAATGAACCTTCAAAACAGGGTTTCAGTTATTTTATGGTTCAATAGAAGTGTATATATTAGCATTACCAAGCGTACACTCAAATAGAGTATTTATTGTACTCTCTATGTCATGTAGGTGTCCTGTATGGTATAATCTATAACTCTGATAAATGACGTTTAAATATTCTTTATTCATCAATATTTGTAATACTAGCAACAGTCATGCCTATCTATTGATATTGTGATGCTATTATCGTTACCAAAAATAACTGTCATGTACAAGTTGCAGGCGCGCGCGTAGAGTTCCGTTCCATCTTAGCTATAAATAATATAACTCAATCTGGTATGATTATTTCTAGCATTTACCTTATCAATATCGAGCAAACTATAATTTATTGTACGGGAGTGCCCTCAAATATTTATTTCATAAGATTAGATATAATATACTTCATCCGTGAAAAATTCAACTATCACATTTCCCCTGCATTATTAAAAAATTGATCCGAAACTACTGGACTGATTCGAAAAATTGTTTCAACTTCGGGAAACTACATTATACGCGGGTGACATAGGCTACTTAAGCAGGTAAACAGCTACTAATGAATAGGTTACCGAGACAAACTAATTCATACGTACTATATATTCTCTAATGCAATTCAAATTATTTCAATCAAAAACTGATTTTAACCCTATTTCCCATAACAAAGGATGACTGTAAAAATATTTTTTGCAGATATCAGACTGATTGGTTGTTTGGATCAGTAGTGCCGGTAACCGTCTCTATGTGTATATACTGTGAAGACATTCAGGTTGTTACACAAACACATCTTAAACAGCTGATGTAACATCGCTATGGTATATAAAGTGTTTATTTTTTTTAATAGTTCTGAGCAAAACTACTCAAAGGACATAACGAAAAAAATTGTCTAAACCTAATTATGATAATACGTAGCTTGAAAAAAAACACGAATAAATGTAAAACATTTCTTTTTGTTTTGTATTTATAATGATGAGTAAGTTAGATAGACGCACAAACATCTAGATTCTAGATTCAGTTTGTTTTTGTTATGATTTATAAATTTCCTGTAAGTTGATAATAAGATTTATAGATTAATCATCAATAATGCATTGCGCAACACTGTTAACGTTAATTAAACTGAAACTTATCTTACCTCCGATGCCATATTCGGTCTTTAATGGTTCCATGTAGGAAGATATGTTGAATAATATGCTGTCATCAGTATTAGGTACGCACATGCTAGCTGGCCGACCGCACCTAAAAGGTTGGAAGTGTTCTCCTACAGGACAACACTTCCTCATGCAGAAAGCGTCGAATGCACTACAATCGAGTGTGCAAGCCCGAGCTACCAGTTGATGGCTTGTATACTCCTGGTCTACACACCAATTCCCTTTAGGCACTAAAATCTCCTTATCCCCACTTCTTTTACGAACGGTGAGAGTATCTCCGTTCAATTCTAAGCGGAAAAATCCCTCCTTGAGCTCTACGGCATATTCTTCTAATTTACAATGCAACCCATTTTCAAATTCAACAATATCAGTGTGTTTTATTTCCAATTGTTTTATGATCCATTCTTCGTTGCCAAATTCGCTATCACCCCTACACAGGTGGTATTCTGTATCATAAACTTGCCCCCTTGGGCAGCATTTACGGACATTTTGTATTTCTAACTTTGTTTCCGGCGAGACTTCAGTGCCATTACATACTAATGCCACAGTTTTTGGTATTACTTTTTCAACTGTACCATTATTAATTTCTGCAACAAATCTATCATAGCATACGTCTCTATTCGTCGACAATTGTATAATTTCATTCAACTGAACCATTTGTAAGTCACAATCATTTGGTACACCATATTCCACAAGCACACCGGGGTCCACAATAAGATGGGAGTTTGGATTTGTAACATTGTTATCACTTATTTCATAGACACTGTTCATACATTTATATGAATCTGTTGATACAATACCGTATCCCGATAGTTTTATAAGACTTTGTTTCATAGGACAGCATTTTCGGAAAACTTTATAATCATCACTGGCAGCGCTGAGGCTGACATAAAACACGCACAGAGTAACTAATGACCACATCTTTGAGTACTTCACAAAATACTGAGCTAAAGGAATAAGTAAGTTTCACAACAGGTGGTGAACGTCGCCGATCGGTTCGTTGAGCATTTTTTTTTAAAGAGGAACGTCCGAGGCAGTTACACGACGGCGGCGTAGTGAACTCCGCGAGTAGCCAAAATGCCGTGATTAAACGATGGTCCCGAATGCTGCGCCCTTGAGAACGCCGACATACCCCGCGCCTCTCACAATGCCCCACACATCCGTTTTTTGGCGAACTTTTTGTTGCGAACTATAGTTTGTGCTGTCGCAAGTGTACTTAAAAACCGCACAAATATTGTTTCTTATGAACCCACGGATTAACACTGACAGTTCAAATAAGCTAAGCAATAATAATACACATAGAGAAGCGTTCTTTAATCGTGTGAGCACACCTAAGTATATTGACAAAGACGTCGATTTAGAATGACACTGATAAGGAGATAAAGTTATGGTTGATTACACAGAATTGTGTATGTACTTTGTGGATACGTCATCGATATATGTGCTTATGACACAGAAATGATTTTAGATAAATTTTATCGAATAAAACAAAAAAATATTGCATTGATACCAGAACATGAAGTGCCTAGGTAATGATAAGTCTAAGTGATTAGTCGAGTTAGCACATCAAAGCCAATGCAGACTATTTTGGAACTGATTGGAAATATATGTCATACACCATTAGTACTATCCAAGGTAGGGCTTTGGAAAGTACGAATGGTTTATGATCAATTTGCTGACTGTATGAAGCTTATCAACCATCTTTCTAGATATCAAGCAAAAATTTATTGATGTATAAATTGACTCCGATATGGACATATTGAAGTTAATTTTGACATAACTGAACTTACACTGGATATAATCTATCTAATAATAAAAAGCTGAAGAGTTGCTTTTGTTGAAAGCGCTAATCTCAGGAGCGTTTGTCTTGAATAAATATTTTTGTGTTGAATATTTGTCCATTTGAGCATTGCTATAAGCTATTTAACATTACGCTATGACGTAAAATATTGCAAACACGGGGAAACAAGCTAAGCCGCTGACGGAAAGCTAGTACCTAAATTATAAAAGAATTCATCTATCCATCCATCCAAAAAACTAAAATTTATTATTAAAAAATCGGCTAGAAGAAATCGAACATGCAAGAATGCCAAACAATAAAAAAATACAACTCAAATGTTATGGACCTCTCTGACTATCACGTTAGGGTAACGGCGCTAGAGAACTCTTTTCTGCATTTTTCTTACATTTTTAGGCTCAAAAGTTTTAATTTTCGTATATTTTCAATAAGAAATATGTAAGTTTCTCAAAATAAATCCTTTAATTTTTTATATTTTGTTGTGGCACAACAATGTGATTGCTATACATCTGATGGGAAGTGATATTACAGTCCAATAAAAGGCATAGCAGTCAGAAGTTCAAACTACTCCCGGCAGCCATTACTATCTTGCCGGCTTTCACATCTTTCGAAAGATTAAATTCCAAAACTATTTTGTCCCTGATATTTAAAATCCCATTATTAACGTTACACATGACATTTAGATTACTAAGTTTTATATCACATGTGCAAATAAATTCTACCTAATCGATCTAATCATCAGCAATATCTCTGCTGGTAATATGGAAAATGGGCAATGAAACATTACGTAGGCCCAGTGCGGATTAGTGCATATTAACCACTGCAGATGCAGTCGGGACCAAAGACTCAACGTCACTATCCAAACACTGGAGTTAGTAACTTTTTGATCACCCGTCCCATTAGGGTTGCTGTCAAAATATTTTTATTCAAATAAATTTATTTTAAGTACTTTTGAATCGTCCAACATTTTTCTCCTATCACTCATTTGACGTTTTTTGGCTGATAAGAAGAACTAGCAAGAAACTCATCAGCTTTAATAGAAATAACGACATTTACAATACAATATAAATTTATGAAGTCACGTCCCATTTCAATATTAACATAACAGAAAAAAAAAACTATGATATTACAAAAATAACATACAATAATCTCTAAGGTATTGTGAAATCTTTACCTAAATTACATAATTACATAGGGTGCTATGTGTTATTATGTCAAGCTCTGTTATTAATATCCCCCCAATATTTATTTAGATAAGACTAGATCTCTGCCAGCGGCTTCGCCCATGTGGTCTGCTTAGTAACACTTTTATCCCTAGGGAACAATTAATTACGAATTGAAATAAGACAATATATATATATAAAATATAAAACTTATAATTTAGTCACTCTGTAAAGACAAAAAGTAGGTTCTAATCTTATTTAAGCTTTACCAATAAGAAGCCTATAACCGTTGATCAGCAATCCATAATTCTTCATCTAATGTGATGTAGTTCGGAAAAAGACAAAATGTTCTTAATGCTTAAAAAATCCACTTTTTCTCTGGCACTCTGAGATGGAACTGAACATGACCTTTCGCAATCCGGGCGACCGCTCCAACCACTGAGCTGCCCAGAACCTAAAAGGACCGACAGTTTTCATTAAGAGTATTTTTCAGTATACCATTGTAAATGCAAAATTGCACAAATATAATCAAAAGACAAAATATGTTTACCTACGCCTACCATTATCCATGCATCCAGCAAGGCCTTTTGTAGGTTAATAACTAGCTAACGTTTAAGAACACGTATCAGATAATATAATAAGTTAACATGCCATTTAAATTTTCTACGTTTTAATTTGAATTCCATCTATAAACAGTTATTGATGCTTCAAATCAAATAGAGAAAGAATCATTTTACCTTTCAGGGCCATCTTCAGATCTCGATCGCGTTATCTTAAAAGGTTAGTCTTAAATTCTGATAATTTTCTCCGTCCATGTTGTGGATTATGTATGGCCATTTATAGAGAAGAGCTGTGCGCTAACAATGGAACATGAATAGGCTGTTTATAATAATTTTATAATGTCAATTTTCATCGAACCATAACATAACTAATAAAGAAATATCATATTACCATTTTAAAACTGTTCTAATAAACTTTTTTGTTTCGTTTTGATTTATTTAATTAGACATTACACGAGAAGGGTTAAATTTGACAGTATTATAAATGGGAATGATTTAATTGTATTAATTTGCATTGAAAAGCTTCATAAACAACTGGGCCAATTCTAAAAAAATATTTCAATTACCGGAAGCTATATCATAGTGTGACGTAACATATGTAGGCTATAATTTACTCAGGCGAAGTAGGTTTACCTAGTAGGTAAACCGTTTTATAATAGTTATTAAGTTTAAGCTAAAACCTTATTATAGAGTTCTGAAATACCGTACGTAAGTATATTTAACGCTTAAAGTTAGTTGGTAAAAAAATGTATAGTTTAAGTTGAGGTATTTGAAGAATATAGAAACAAATACATAGTTTCTCATAATAGTGCTAAATAAAATGACACGATGGAGTCAAAATACTTAATTTCCGCATCAATATGGTGAGTACAACTACAACGATGTTATAATTCGATATTTAATTAACAAATATATGGTGACTAGAATTATTTGACATTGCGTGTTGACAAAAATTTTAATTCGTGAATAGCGTCATTCATATTGTATAGGTTTGTCTGGTATTAGGGTCGTCTGCAAATTTCGTAATTATTACGAATGCGGGATCCCGTGGGATTTGCCGGAATACTAATAGACTTGAATCAAACAATGGTGAAAGATCTAACAGTTACACATAAATGTATAAAAGGAATAATGCTGACTATTGTGAAACCCGTCTTAAAAAAAAAAGAATTTTTATAATAGGTAAAAATACATACAGATCAAAGTGACAATCTGCTTTTTTTGAAGTCGGCTCAAAATCGTTGAACAGTCGTAAAAAATATACATACCCGTCGAACACAGAATCTTCTCGTTTTCGATTTTGTAAATAAAAGAACGTATTTTCTTTGTATTTTTATGGGCATTTTAGAGGTTAATAAAAAGTTCTAATTTAAATCTCGTAATTTCAAAAAAGACCAGCTTGCAAAAATACCTTTTCAAATAAATACAAAACGTTCATGAAAATCAGTTTAATGAAAGACAAAATCAAATTTCAATAAAAATCATATGGCACCCTGAGGTGCCATAAGAAATCAGTGTATTAAAGAAATATCTGTATTTTTCAAAATTATGTATTTATGAAACTAATAAGATATTGTTATAATTAACTTTAATAATAGGTAAACAAATAGTTATAAGATAAATATTAATACTTTATTAGTGCAAATCAATCGGAATAGACAAAGGAAAATCATTAATAACATTAAATTTGCTTTAGTTTAATTTCGTTTCATAAAGTTACATTTACTTTACATTTATTTTATTTCTTTTCACTGTATTTAGATGAATTTACATTTAATTTTTTTTAAATTCGTTCATTTAATTATATATATTTAGTTTCATTTTATAACTTTGACCGTATTTAGTATAAAATATGGGCTTTGCGAATTCTGCTTTGCGAATCGGAATTCGGAATATATCGAAATCGGCAATTTTAATTTGCCGATACACCGATACATTTAGAATTTTGCTCGCTACAGAAACCTGAGAAAAACCATATGAACAAGAATTGATCAACTATAATAATAAGAAAAAAAAACATTTTTATCGTAAAAAAAAAACACTTTCAGCTGTTCCTAAACATTAATGAAAAAACGCTCGGTAGTAACATTTTTTTTTTAATTGTAATCAGCGATGACAAACATTTATGCTCCAACGTCCCGATGTTTAATGAGGCCATAGACGGACCATCAAATAATTTTGACTTTGTGATTATTGGGAAAATAATATTAAATACTATTAACTTAAAGCTCTTTATTTACGTTAATAAAGGTACATTTTGCAATATTTCATTTGGATATTCATTTAAATCACATGCGTAAGTAAAATAATTGTGACTTCTGTATTTGCAGATTAGATGACAACACACTTCAATTGGGTTTGTAAGATGTAACTTTTTAGAGATAAGAATGCATGCTGAAGTCTATCAATCAAACTGTTTCTAATAGAATCTTGGATGTTATTCATCTCTGAAAATAATAACTCGCAAGCTTATGTTGATGAAAATATTGTTAGAATATCATGAGCCAGCTGACACATTTAACTATTTGAAGTAAACAGTTAAATGGATCAGGTAAAGCGTTACTAACATTTTACTGAAATTATTTTTATATATAATAATATAATTTTTATATATAATAACTTATTTTTTAATGAATTTCGTGATCAGTGACGTGCCCAAAATATTGTGCTAATGGGCTGACCTACATTTATTTAATAGGCAATACAAATTTTAAGTAGAATTGTATAACTATAATTGTATATGAAATAAAACCACGCTGTTAATGTTTTATATAAATGTAATATCTTAAAACAAATTTTACATGATAAGTCTTAAAAACTAAGTTATTGTAAATGACTTCTTTACTTGGCACATAATACATTTTTTTCTATAATTCTATATTTCCTATTTAAAACTGTTTGCGTATATTATATAACAGTAGCCTAATTGTCTGATTATAAAATCGCAAAACCTTTCAAAGGAATAGCGATTAACGGAATAATGCTTTGAATGCTCAAGGAACATAAAAAATCTTGGTAATTTAAAGTAATATTTGTGTCTAACGCTTGTCTATTCCTATTAACGTCAAATTATCCATATCAATCATTCGATATCTGTAAAATAGACTTCGCAATCGTAATCACTATGACATATCAAATAGTAGAGTGAAGTTCGTGAACATCTTTCAAATGTTAAATCGGTTTTAAAATTAGACAATTAGGGTTCAACATTAGAAAAGAAAAGCATATTTGAGAAACACATGAAGAACTTTTCTTAAACATCTCTCTTCACACTCCTATCTATAGTCAAGATACTTATTTGATTACTTAAGAAAATGGCATAACCAATAGTCGAGAATTTGAAAGAAATAAGAACTGTTAATAGCTAATAATAGTATTTTTACTATTTATAATTCTTGTTTCATTCAAATTCTTATTGACTTGTTAAAAATAGGTGCTTATGTAATTACTTTTACTCGACTCTAGATACGGTTGTCAATGATAAAAGTAAACCTTTATGCCACTTAGTGCGATAACTGAACCGACGTGATAATCTCTAAACTTTCACATAAAGTAGGCGATTACTTTGTTTAAAATAAAGCAACATTCAAATAAGGTTCGTAATCTTCAATCTTCAGATTAAGTCATTTAGGTCATAGTTCGGAACCAGTGTGTGTGGCGTAGCATGACGAACTCGAGAAACGTAGTCTACACCCAAATGTCACTTTTCTCGGGTACGCCCACACAGCATCTCACTCTCGACCCGTGGCCTACTTGTCTAATTATAAAATATCAGAATCCTTTTCAAACATATAGCAGTTGTGATATTAATTTATGGAATCCTGTCTCTTTTAAATTTTCAATCTTTTTCTCATTCAAATGATATAAATGTCATAGATATTTCACATTTCAATCCAATTCTTTATTGCAATTATGTGATAATACAAGATATTCTACACAAATACAGCATCATAACATGAACCCTGTCAGTGCACAGCAACATCTATCTTTGATAGCATTTCCCATCTCTCTTGATCATCTTTCAAAGATATTTTTAACTATGACTTTACTTAAATAATTCCAATTAACGTCAAATTTTTCATTCATATCTTTAAAAAACGTCGCGATCGCAATTCCTTTCAAATGTCAAATAAATGTAGCGTGAAGTTCGTGAATATCTTTCAAAGGTCAGATTCTAAGTGATTATCCATCAATTTTAAAATTAGACAATTAGACCACCGTTTCTGGAGTCTCTCGACCTCGTACACTAACAGCACTGGATTTTGGCAAACTAGGCCCGACTAGCCTAAGACGCGACGTAATAGGCCCGTCGCGTGCCTAGTTAGACGAGGTTACGAAGAGGCACGAAATTTGAGGAAAAATATCCAAGTGATTCGCGAAAACCTTAAAGTAATCAGAAATACAAAAAATTACAATACAATTTTTAGTTATATGACCACAGAGGAAGCATACGAGATGCTACGCTTGCCTAGAGGCCTATACACATTTAATTCAAACGCTTATGGTGTATGCAATCTGAATCTTCCTTTGTTGTACACAACTAAAATGGTTATATATCAGCATTTTCAATTGATATATACTTTACACGAGCGTTCAAATTTTTTTTTATCATTGATGTTCTGTCAATCTAATAAATATCTGATCACAGTTACATTATATGAGGCGCGAGGAGGAGAATAATTATATTAAGACAACAATTGTGTCTACGGAAGAGATTTATTATTATGAAACAAAGTAATTATGTTACTTATCATGTGACCTACAGGGATAAAACAATTTCAACCTTTCAATCATAGACTGAGAGCTCGTGACAAAAATATGCAAGAGCTTTCAATAGCTTAACATTTCAGTATTTTGAAGTACTAAGGGTGTAACTTCACATTTGATAATCTTAATATCACGAATTACTTATAAGGAAAAAAATTATATAGCATATTTTTGATTGGCGAATGTTTGAATGTAAGATGGCAGAAATTCTTTTAGCATAATTAACTTTAGAAAAATTTAATTTCGAAAAACTACCTACATCGTATTTTGTAAAATATTCAAATAAACGATTCCGTCTGTGAACTTTCGACGAATGATGGTTCTGCATTATAATTATCACCATGCATATAAAATGTTTGCCAAAAGATGAGTACGGGCCGGTTTCTGAATCGAACAAAACTACAAAATCTCAACTGATTATTCTCAATAATAAAGTGTTTTACGTTTCACAAGTCATTAAAAGATTTAAAATCAGTAATGAAAACCCTTTAGTACAGTCTGAGACGTTCTTAACTTTAAATTCAAAAAGTTTTGATTGTATGGTATATGATTCTATGTCACACGATATTCTACAAATATAAAATGATTTCATACGCTGTTCTGCGTCAGTAACAAATAACATTATGACATAAAAAGTTCTGCCATAATAGGTGGACGCAATTTATTGCCTTGACCATGTTGAAAATCAAACAGAGGTTTTCATTAATTTCCAAAACGCTGTTATGTATCTAAAGTATCTTGTACCTGCAATCTTATAATCAGTCATCGATACGATCAATAGTAACATTTATCATCAAAAACATGTCAAAAAATACTTTGTGTCAATTCACTTTAACAATTTTTGTAACATGTCTCTTATTAATTAATTATATGTACAGTATAATTATAAAAATCCTGAACTAATACAGTCAACTCTAATATTACGCATAAATTCTTAGACCTAATGGCAACCACAACTCTTGACAACCATATTCTTGTATTTGCGCAGGATCACATTCGAGTCATCAGTATAATATAACACTGAAATAGGTGATAACTTGATTGGCGCGCAAGATGGTTTCGGTACCTAGAAAATAATAATAAATATTTATAATTCATTTCTTTCGTAACACTTTGAAAATTAAAAATGTAATATAAGAATCTAGCACGTGACGTAGTCCATAGAGATACCGACATTATATTTATATATGAAGGAATGTAATTATAAAATAGGTAACTGCAATTACAAAACTAATTGAAAACATACATTTATCGCAAGAACGAAAGCGTTTATTTATTGAAAACTTATCACAAACAGCTGACCTAGCGAACTTCCTGCCCCCCCCCCCTTACTCTCGAACTCAATCGCGACCGATTGACATTGGTTCACTAGCGTATTCTGGCGCTAGTTTACCCAATCATGAATGCGGAGCGGCACTCTTTCGCGATTGCGTTCGAGAGTAACGGGGCTGCTCGCCACTGTACCGTATTTTATATAAAGAAATTAAAAAGAATCGGCTAGTGGTTTTTAAGATTGTCTATTATAAACTAACATAAATTAAATCCTTCCCCTTTTTAACGTTAGTACCAATATATACATTATCTGTAGAGATTTATTCAAAATAATATGTTGTTTAGAATCGTCACGTTTTTGTTTACTTATGTAGAATTCACTACTGTACTGAGAACTTTGATACTTCACCTGTGTTGGATTCAAAAGATGTACAAGCGTCTGCACTATTGCATGATTCGTGGCATTTTTATGTGCGTTCAAAGGGAAATTACATTCCCCACTGCAATAAAACGCGCCGTAACCATTAGGAGCTATGATCCAATCCTGTAAAAATAGGCGATAATCAGGTAGATGGACTTTAGTAGCTCGGTGGCATAGTAAATAAGCGCCACGGCCCGCGAACGTTGTTGTTAACAAACTTTCGCAAAGGTCGGTCACGGGATAGGTGACCTACAAATTATTATCTCGAGCTACTCCGTGTTCCGGAAAGCACAATAAGCCGTTGGTGCTGGCTGAATTTGCAGACGTTAATACCTTCCAATCGGCATTGGGCTAGCGTGGAGGATTATGGCCCATCATAGCCACCTTCTAACCTTAAGTTAAAAGTATAAATTACCTACTTCATGAAAACAACTGTTAAATAAATCTTACCTGCCATTCCAGATCTTTAAAACTAACGTACAACGTTTGAATCTCGCAACTTCTAGTAGTCCAGTGTGATGTGTCTGTAACAATTAAGAAACATTTTTAAGTACAATCAACAGCACGTCAGGTTATACAAATCTTAAACTTTAATGTTGGTAGAGTTTAAAATTGTCTGGAAAAAATTACATATTGTGGAATATGATTTTAATAGATTCAAATTACATATTTGTCATTCGTGAGGCGAGAAATCTCTACAAATATTATAATTGAGAAATATTTAATTATTTGTTTGTTTGCATAGATAAACTCCGAAACAACTGGACCGTTTTTATAAATTCTTTCACCTACGGGAAGTCATATCATAGGAGGGTATAATAGGCTATAATTTATGCGGGCAAAGTGGCGTTGCAGGTGAACAGCTAGAAAAATATCAAATAGTGCTCGCACCGCCCCATCCTGTACGCACAGCATGAATACCTCGAGAACGTTTTGTCTACACCCAAATGTAACTTTTCTCGGGTGCGGCCATACGATATCTCACTCTTGTCCCGAGAAAGCGAAAGCGTTTCTCGAGTTTGTCATGCGACGCGCGTTGCAGGCCAAGTCTGCAATGTTTACGTTATTGTACTATCTAACTAAAGTCCAATATTATTATATATCGGTCACCATTGATGTGTAAGGAAGACATTGCACTTATAACATTGGCCAAGTAGATAATACAATAGTTAAATGCAAGTCGAGATTCTATTGAGATTTGGCCTTCTGAGCAAAGCAGTTTCATATATTTGTTCTGTGAGTGATTATAAAGCTAGCCGATTATTCCGAACCTGAAATAGAAAAAATAATAACGTTCCGAACGTTACCCAAATTGTGATATAGGTAAATTTCTCTTCGTAACGATACGTCATAACAGTCAAGAAGAGGGTTACGTTCGGAATAATTGAAAACTCGTATCTCGTACGGCCCAGTCGTACGGCCATGCTGGGCGTGCCATCTTTTGATTAATAAAATTCCGGACACTCGAGTAACCATCAAAAGTAATCGAAATTCAGTTCAAACTAGGACATAGCTAATGAATATTGGTATTCACGGTGATCTTCTAAGGTGGTTGTCCTCGTATCTCAGAGATAGTCAAGAGAGTCAAGCAGTGACAGTCAAGGTGTTTATATCCTCTTTCGTATCCACAACGTCGGCTGTCCCCCAAGGCTCCCACCTCGGTCCCTTATTATTCAATGTTTACATAAATTATGTCTTAAGTAGCATTCATCACTCTAATCTATTATTGTACGCGGATGATAAGAAACTTTTTAAAATCATTAGAACTCCCATAGATTGTTTGGAGCTACAAAAGGATTTGTACCTATTGTGTTGATAATAATTTTTATCTGAATATAGACAAATGTTGTGCTGTAACATTTAACAGGAAAAAGAAACCATTCAATTACGCCTATAAACTTAATATGAAAACACTGAAACGGGTTGACGAGGTCAGAGATGTAGGTGTTTTACTAGACAATAAATTATCATTTGTAGAAAATGATAATTTATGATAAATTATCATATAGAATACATAACAAAGAAGGGTCACAAAATGCTAGGTTTCGTCCTAAGACAGAGCCGTATATTTGTTAGAGAAGTAACGTACCGCACTCTTTTTAACTCATTCGTTCGGCCTTTACTTGAATTCGCATCCACAGTATGGAATCCTGATTACCAAGTACATAAATTTTTGAAAGTCTACAACGTTAAATTTGGGAAAATGATAATGTCACTTTTGAGTCCCTTGAATTGCGTAGATATCATCGAGATTCTTTACAATCTTTTAAATAATAATATCGATTCCCGATTAACTGCTACAAAATATACATTTTAGATGTCCAATACTGAGTTCGAGAAACAGGTTCCTTTACGCGTTGCCATTATGTAAGACGAATTATGCAAGAAATAAATTTTTGGTTCGAGCTTGTCGTTGTAACAATGATAAATATTTGGATTTCGACTTATTCAACATGTCTATTAATATGTATAAAAAGTCTATTAAGCAAATTAAATGACAAATTGTAATATTTTTCAGTTATCACTATTGTGGGCTCTTGTTGCCTTTTTTTTTCTCTTTTTAAATTCTTATCCATTAATTCTTTAACTAATTGTAGAAACTTTATTGGCCATATTGACTTTATTGGCCATAGTATCATTTTTTGTAACAAACTATTGGTAAGATTATGTGCTGTATATTTCTCATAGCGTAATAATAAGTAAATAAATTAAAATAAAATAAATAAGAAAAAGAAACTATTAGGATACGGATTGCATCACGGTGGGACCTGCTTGAGCAATGGGCATACCTAAGGCGCGAATGGAACGATTTTTGAGCGTTATCAAAATTTAGGAAAATTTATAAGAAATCAGAACATGGAACAACATCATTGAAATCAGAACTGTCCCAAAATTTCCCGACACGTGGTAACGCGGGCTGTCCGCAGTACAGGCTTTTATATGACTACATGCATGCCGCTATAGTATAGTATTATCTGCTTCGTGCTACAGCTACAGCGCCCATTGGCATGGATAAATGTAAGAAAATTATATGAAAGTTTTATATGAAAATGAAAATTATATGATGTAAGAAAATTATATACCCGCTTAAGAAAGAAAATTATATGATTACCTGTTAGGGGATTTTTCAAATAGTTATCGGAGTATGTACGCCATCGACGCGCCTCTCGCTTACGTCGTGCACCCGCATCAGATGTGTCCAGCTTCGGTCCGCTCTTGAAGAAAGCTACTACGAAGGGTTGTTTTCCTTCAACAGCCACACCTCGGGGTTCTTCCAAACCGATTTCCTCTGGTTTTACATGACGCTCTGTGGAAAAATTTCGTATTTCTACTTTTAATCACTTTTTTGAAATAAACGGTACTTTAAATCCGATATAGTATTCGATAAACATAGTTTAGTATGTAAACATAAACATTATATGTATAATTTACAGAGTTTCAAAATTTATTTATCGGAAATAGTGATAGCAATCGTGAAAATTCTTTCACCTACGGGAAACTACTTTACATCATATGCGGGTGCTTCAGACTATAATTTATGCGAGCGAAGTCGAGAGAAAACAGCTAGTAATGTTATATATACTTAATATTAAGTCACAAAGCTTAGCACAATAAACGTATGAACATCTTCACCGATAACAAAATAAAAACGTCAAAATCCTACTTGCTAGCCTACTATTGATTTTTAGAAGTTTGTGATTTCTTTATCGAGTTATAAAAACAATATCAACATATCAATAATAAATTTATAAAAACAATATCAACATAGTTCTGTTAAGAATTAGATTGTTATTATTTTGTAGCAACTAATATTAATTTTGACGTCTAGATGGCGTTATGGCGAATTATATCGCTACAGAAAGCTGTAGGGTATGGTATATAGCACTATCGTTTTTACCTATATGTATACCATATCGAGTAGTTCGGCAGCGTAGTGGATTTCGCAAGGATCGGTCACGGAATGGGTTACCAAAATTGTTTATCTCGAGCTAGTCCATGCTTCGGAAGGCACGTTAAACTGTTGATCCTCACTTCTTTAGCAGTTGTAATTTCCCTCTAATTCGCATTGGGCCAGTGGGGAGTGTCATGACTCATCCTCCTTAACCATCCATAAGGAAAACCTTAGCCCCTGCAGCGGGGTCGTAAAAAAGGGCTGATGATGATGATACGATATCATTTTTTTATTTAGATGACATTGAAATTGAAATTTTGTACCTATATTCGAATACAATTGTAAAAATGAACAAAGAATTATAATACAATACAGATATACCTTTTTCATATCTCTATGCATTAATTGCATAAATCGCTATACCTATGAAAGGTAATGCGATAGATTTCCAAACTAGACAATTAGCCCACTGCTCACATCACTCTTCACGTGTTACACACATACTCCTTACAGTGCCGACCTTACAGTTCCTATTCGATTCCATCCATGTGGAAGGCTTAGGCCACAGCAGTGGGAAGTGGGAATTAATAGATGATTACAGTGCCAACCGCCGAATGGTTTCGATGTGTGTAAATAAACTGGTGATTTTTGCGGTATTTGTTGTTGTTTGTACATGTATATTCGTGTATAGGACGTAGAAGTTGCTAGATATTATAAGTAATTTCACAGTTTTTTCAATGGACTTCCGAAAAATAACGCAACATTTTTTGAATGAAATCTTTCGTTACCTGGTTGCGAATGCGGATGCATGGTGACAAAAAATCCTCGATTGTCAGCAGGCGAGCGTAGCCACTCTCTCAACGCACTGGTCACGTTCATCTCCAGCCAACCCTCCGCTGATGCACTTGTATTTACAGACGCAACTTCTTCCAACTGCAAACCTCTGTGAAGGATTAGATGAAAATCATATATTCGAGCTGTTCCAAGCACTTTTGAAATTAGAAACTCTATGCCGTCGGTTTGTGAATCTACGGCAATAGACCTTGTGCAGAGTAAAACTGGCGAGAAACCTAGCAAGGCTCTTTTTCTACTTACTCTTTTACGTCAAATTTGAAATATGAAACCCTAATTCCGCAATATTAGAAAATCGATTCTGAATTTATTCGCTGATAATAATTAAGTAATATACATATTTATAATAAAATAAAATAGACACGAAAGAATTAAAAATAAAATAATTGCAAAACAAATAGAGGCCAAGTATTGTCATAGGCATTGGAATATTTGACATCATTTCTTTTTCCAAATGAGGACGTATTTAAAAAAAAAAAAGCACAAGAAATCACCTCTCTAAAGGTAGATAGCGACTCTGTCAAAAGTTGATTTTTGCAGGAAACGAATGGACCAAAGATAGTAAAATTTGCAAAATTGGCAACTTAGATATCAATACAAATGCTAAAAAGTACAAATAGAATATGATTTGCTTTTTGAGTTTTGAAAATTACGAGGGTCAAACTGAAAGTTCTTAGAACTGGCCACTTATAAACAATATAATAAAAAAATAATTCTAAAATTTGAAAATATAACTCTTTGCCAATATTACTGAGTATATATTTCATTCATTTGTCATTTGTTTTACGATTTGGCGGCAAATTGAAAATTGTCTGTGTCACGTCATCATGAATTTAACACGAGAAAATTTTCGTGCAATGATTTTTTATGACTTTCGATGTCATTTAAGTCAACAAGAAAGTTATGATAGACTACGATTGGCCTTTCACGATGAAGCCCCATCTCGTGCGACTGTTTACAACTGGTTTAATGAGTTTAAACGTGGTCGCACTAATCTCACTGATGATTTACGTTTACCTTCTACGGCGACGACTGAAGATAACATCTGTGTTGTGCGGCGTATGATAGAGACTGACAAAAGAGTGACCTATCAACAGATTCGGACAAGCTTAGGCATCGGTATAAGTCAAGTGCACAAAATCCTCCACGAACATTTAGCGGTCAGGAAGCTTTGCGCCCGGTGGATACCTCATAATTTGACTGAGGCTCAAAAACTCCATCGTGTGGATTGGTGTCGTAAAATGATTGAAAGATTTAACGGAGGTGACTCAAATGCTGTGTTCGACATACTAACAGGTGACGAAAGCTGGATTTACTGTTATGATCCTAAAACCAAAAGACAATCTGCTCAGTGGGTGTTTCCTTTCGAGGAGTTGCCAACTAAAGTGAAGAGAGATCGAAGTGCGGGAAAAAAAATGGTGGCCTCGTTCTTTGGAAGGATAGGTCATTTTGCAACAATTGTGTTAGAGGATCAAAAAACAGTTTCTGCAGAATGGTACACTACCAATTGTTTGCCACTTGTCTTGGAAAAAGTTCGAGAGAAACGACCTCGCAGTAGGATCCTCCTTCACCACGACAACGCCTCGTCGCACACCGCCAAGCGAACGATCGACTATTTGGCGACATCAAACGTTGAATTACTGGGTCACCCGCCGTATAGCCCCGACCTCGCGCCTTGTGATTTTTATTTATTTCCAAAAATTAAAGAAAAACTTAAAGGAAAGCGGTTTATGAATGCTGAAGAAGCGGTGGCTGCGTATCGCGATGCCATTGAAGAGACCCCTAAGGACGAGTGGGCAAAGTGCTTTTCCCAGTGGTTCCATCGCATGCAGCGGTGTATTGACGTGAATGGACAATATTTTGAAAAGATATAATAAAACTAATAACTGGCTAATGTAATCAGTTTTTGATTTTCTAAGAACTTTCAGTTTGACCCTCGTAATTTACTTTTATACATGAAAGAGAACCGGAAGGGTTGTCATGGAGAAATCATGAAAGTACCGTAGCGACATCTAGTTTGATTTCGGGAATTAATGGTTTTTAAATAATTCCTCATTAGAGGCCTGTCAACTACTTTAATAAAAATATAGGAAATTAATTTCGTTTTTGGCCGGCACTTAGCCACTAGGCTAAGATAATTATCTGGCGGATTAAATTGTTTTTGGCGAAAAACGCCACTAGGAACTTAACTCGCCAAAGCAGCAAGTTAACTCACCACTGTACTTATTGTAGTGTAATTCGGGTTTAGGTGAATCTCGGAAACTTGATCTTCCGGTTTGATACATCCGTCATTATTTTTCTTCAAAAATAATGAATTCTGATTTATATATTTTAAAAAATCGGCGTTATCAAAGTCTGCTACGATATCAAATTCTATATAGATTAAAAAAAAAATCAGTCAACATTAATTATTTTTGAAAAACAATAACGATACATGGATCAAACCAGAAATTCAAGTTTCCAAGAATCATCCATTAACATCGTAGAGCGAGGAACTCAAGTACAACTATATTTTCAAAAGTTTTACAAAAGATTACTTAACATGGACGAATTTACTTTTTCACTGCCTCAAATGTATACAATGAAAAAACAAAAATCGTCCATGCGTTAAGCTCTGTAATTGCAATTGAATTAAATGGTATTTATTGAATTTCCTACATATGAATTACAGTAGCATTTGATCAAATTTGAAAGCAATTAATACTTAATTGGCAGTAAGTAGGTATATTATCATGTACGTTAAATCAAAGTTATAAGCACCAGCTGGGATCTAATCAGAGTACTGAGGAGAGGGGGGGTCCCATAACGTCATCGCTGGCCAAACGGAAAGATAGTTACCCCATATTATCGACGCTGAGCACGCGATGCGCAACTACGGTGTAGAGAGCCGAGGGGTCGGCCGCTTCGTGCGATGGTGCTTGATGTAAACGCAGTTCGGCAGTAAGCAGAGCTGAGGCATCGCCTGGGGCTCCTGCCACCTCAAACCATACATGCCGGCCGTGCCCATGCCGCAACGCACCCAAGTGATGTTCTGGAACATATTCATACACAAATCTACTTAGTACATTTCTTATTTACGACAATACTGCTTCCAGCACGCGTAGCATGACAAACTCGAGAACGTTTTGTCTACACCCAAATGTCACTTATCTCGGGTACGCCCCGTACGATATCTTACTCTAGACAAAAGAAAGGGACATTTGTGTGTAAAAAAAGCGTTTCTCGAGTTTGTCTTGCTACGCGTGCATTACTTATATGTAAGCAATAATTAGAACAATTATTATCATTATTTTTTTATTAAATAGATATTCTTTACATGTATTTAATTACCCAAAAAAAAATTATGTTTTTAAAATACCGTAATATACAAGGAACCCTTATAGATTTGCCATTTGAGTCTGTTCGTCCATGGTTTAGCTCAAAAACTATTGATAGCAGACAGTCGTGATTTGGCATGAGTATACATGCTAATTACGCCGATAAATAGTCTTGCCATAAATATTGTTACATTTTTTTTTATTGCACGTAACATTTATCACTTTAAAAGTATGTTAGTTTAATACATTAATATAAAGCCATTAAAAATATATAAGTATAGCTTATTCGAAGTCCTTATTGGCTGCAATACAGTCCTTTAAACTGTGAGGCCAGTTATCAAAAGACACACACACTCTTTCCATGGGACAATTTTTAACTGCCATCCGTATGAATTGTTTTAGGAACTAAAAAATTATCATAGAGTTTAGCGCAAACCTTACTCTCTAAAACTGACCATATATCATAACCAAGCGGATTAATATCAGGGACTAGATGACGGTCCGTATACCAGACTATGCGCGAGGGTGGTACGGGGGGTTTTGCACTGTAGGCCTGCTGTAGATAGAGGTTCTTTAACCTCCGCACCAGGAGAGCCCGGTTTAGTCAAGATCGATGAAATGTTAAAATCAGTTCCCCTCGGTACAAAAAAAGGTAGGCCTAGCTTTATGACCTGGCGCCGAGTCTAGCTGAAAGGACCACTCTTGGTAATTGAACATGGCTCCTTTAGAACGGGCTTAACTGCCTTCTCATTTTGATGCCTTTTTCACAAAAATATTACTCGGTCATTCTTTCATAGCTAACACTCCACTAAACCATCACTGAAGTGATATAATAGACAATATTGTAGATAGAAGTTATAATACCCATTTTTTACTCTCTTGATTAATCGTAAAGTTTCTTTAGAGCTTTGTGTTTAAATACGGTCATTTTGTTTGTTAAAATATTACTCAATTTTTAAAAAATCTCTACCGTACACTAAATTTTTAATTGACCTCCTTTTGCGAACCGTGTGGTAGTTGTTTTGATTTAACCACCCTATTATTTTTTTTAGTTATCTATTAAGAAGTTACCAGTGTGTTTCTCATAAGCTGCAAGTCGTAAGCCATCTTTGAAAATATGCGACATTTACTAAGTGCAATCTTCATGTCCCGAGACAAAATCTTTTCCTTTCGGACAGAATTTCTTTGAATTATTACCCATACCTACTGCTTTGATCGCCTCTTTCGTACGAACCACGGACAGTCAGATCTTTTTTCTGTCATAAACAGTGGAGCCAAAAACAATGTTCAAAACGTATTAGAATAGAATAGATATTTATTTGTCTTTAAATATGGTACAATTTGATAGCAATTAATTAAAATAAAATTAGAACTTAAAACCTATTTGGCAATACAAAGATAACATACAAATATTAAATTTAATTAATTTTTCATTACCAGTAAAAAAAGTCAAATTATTATCAAAATTAATTAAAAACAATGATTATACAAAATTAACAAATTTACTAAAATTACTATAATCATTATCGTTTCCAAGATTAAATGTCACAATAATGAATATCACGATAAGGAATTTCGTAATTAATAACGTCAAAACAATAAAAGAAAATCATATAGCAATTAAACTTTGTGTTAACTTATATAGCGTTGGCGTATTAATTTACCTAGAATCATGGTTCAAAAAATCATCAACAGAATAAAATGCCATTTCCAATAACCATTTACGCAAAGTAGATTTAAATCAGTTAAACGGTAATTATTTGAAATTATTGGGTATTTTTGCCACATGGCGTAACTGCTATTATGAAATATTTGAGTTTTAGGGACGAATTTCAAAACTAGTCTTTCAGGGTTTCTTCTTAATCTTTGGCTCAAATCCTGTCCTTGTGTAAACTTTTTACTATTAAATTTAACAAATATGAAAACTTCTAAAATAAAAAGCCAGGGTAGTGTCAAAATTTGAAGAGCTTTAAAGTAAGGCTTGCAAGAAATATCCGGCTTTAGATTGCATATAGCACGAATGCATCTTTTTTGAGCAATAAACAGAATTTTAGTATCAGTGCCCTTTCCCCAAATTAATAAACCATATATTAAGATGGATCCTACATTATGCGAAAAAGGCCATGATAGCTGTATTTACACTTGCTACTTTTGTAAGTTTATAAAACGCAAATGAGGAGTTCATTTTATTGCACACATTTTCTATATGCTCTTTCCAACTGAATTTAGGTTAAACTATTGAGCCTAGAAATTTTACATTTGGAGCACCCTGTAGTGTTTGTCCATTAAAAGATACGTCTACTGATTGATTTTAAAATTATTGAATGAATTATATTAGTTTTTACAAAATTTACCGTAAGATTGTTATTCTGAAGCCAATTAATAATTGATGTCATTGTATTTGTGATGTCAAGTTTGTGTTGTTCTAAAGTACCTACTTTACATTGAAACATTAACGGTAATGTCACCAGCAAATAGTACCGTCTTAAATTTTGTCAATTAGTCAAACACTTAACTAATACCAAGCGTAGGGAGGGATTTGAACATTGTGTTTGGCTCCTATTTCATGTATCATAGTGATCCGGTTCTCTTTTTATAAAATATTTTTCAATGCAGTTGCTCATAAAGCGCTATTTTTTTAATCCATTGTAAACACCGAAAGTGAGTCTTTAAACACGTGTTAAATAAAAATGTACTGAAATCCTTTACTGCACACGTGCTAAAAGTATTTGTTTAATTTTTTTTTGGCCGAGCACCAAAGAAATTTTAAAAAATTGATGAAAATATGTCAAACTTTAGAGGCAAAAGTATTTCAAGGAGTCTAGAACGAATATTTTCAAATAAAAATTTATGACACGAAAACATCTTCAAATATCACGTTCAATTTTAACAAATAATTTTTACCTTTAATACATACTTAGTTTTATTAACCTATATATTTGTTTTTTCCTCGCAAAAAGCATTGAAAAATGTTGTAAGAAACTTGAGCGTAAAAGGTTTTTCGAATTCGTGCAAATTTGGCCCTTATTCGTAAAACCTTACTTTCCGCACTCGTATCTTAAATAACTATTATTATGTATTGGCGGGCATGAAAATAAGAAAATACAATGAACAATAATATAAAAATGACATATTCGAAATCAAAAGTAATAGTTATAATATCTTGCGACATAGGTATAATTACATATACCTAACCAGTATGTATTAACAGATAAAGCATAAAATTATACACTCAGATATTATTAACATGTAGTCTATAATATTTAAAAAGCACTTACATCATTTATATATTTCCTTTTTTTATATATATTCATTCACGATACCTCAGAAGAATCTATTCTATTATATTAAAACAAAACACGAAAATCAATTAACATATTCTTTTAATAGCACAGTTACTCTGTTTGATTATTGTAAGTTAAATAATTAGAGAATGTTCTCAGAACTTAAAATATCTGTTGTATCTAATAAGTAGGTATGGTATAAACTGCGTAAGTGGTGTAGCTAAGAATAGATTATAAACGTTATTCAATACTCAGTGCGGTGATGAAAACAAATCCGATGTTATTGTGTGCCAGGAAAATGATGACCATTGGGTCGTGTACCTTTATTCACTTAACTGTGACATGTACTAACTACAGACAAAGTCATCTGGTGTCATTCGCTCCAAGTCTTTATGACGCAACAAATAAAGTTCCTTTTTAGTAACAACACCAATAATTGCGACTTCCCACTAATTGATAAGGCAATTCTCATGCAAAATATCAAGATGTCGGCAACAGGTGCCACTCGATGACGACGGCATTTGTAACTTGACACTTTAGTTAGGTGTGGGTATGATTATATTAAACATTAATTATCTCTAAAAAGTTCTTTTTTAAAGAATACGATCACCAATAAGTCTTTTTAAGCTAATGATGATGGTGACATCATAAAATGTCATTAATTTCCATTCGTAAATAGCTACTACTATACTTTTTTTATAATTAATTAATGTAATTTTAGTCAGGTTTTTACGCGTAGTAGGTATTTTTAACTACCACAAATATTATTATGTAACTACTTATCAGCGAAAATTTCATCTGTCTTTCGGTCAGGTACACAAACGTCTATTAAAGTTTAATGACGTCTTTAAGTTCTAATGAATGACAAATTTGTATGGGTAATGTAACTTTAAACTAATGAATGTTTTATATAGGTATACTATTGCCTATATATAACGAAGTTAAAGAGTAAACTATCTATCACACTGAAGTTGGCTTTACAAGTTTACGAATATTACGGCCGGTTTCTGAATCGAGAACACCACAAAATCTCTACTGATTATTCTCGATAACTCACTTTTTTACGTTTTACACGGCAAAAAGTCCTAGTTTTATCGAACTAATAATTCATCTTTGTATTGCTGTAAATCAAATATTCTATTACATTAATGTAATGTGTTACCTATTTTACACTGGACAAACAAACTTCTCTTTGTTTATGTACAAAACAGTAGTTGTTGTTGTTTCATCATTACGATAATACACCAATAATAAATGTGATTCCTAGAATCGAACCAATTAAACTATACAAACATTAAACAGTGTTTAATGTACCTAATTATAAAAACTGCAAGTTGATAATAAAAAAACTACTCGCTATTTTTTAAGGAACTCTAACAAGTATTCTAATAAAAAAGTTTGGTGTCCTTTGTCTTCGGGCTTATTGGTTTTTTTTTCATGGCGCCGGTTTCAATCTGTGTGGTTCGACCGCGTCCATTGTCCCTTCCTCATCCCTTTCTGACTCATCGCCATTTACCTGCCACCATTTGACGTGGTTTCGACAAAAAAAATAACTTATTCAGCCAATTACAAATTATATGTTTTAAAGAAAAACCCTTTAAAGTTTAGTGAAGTTACAAAAAAAATCTTAGGTACCTACTTTATCTGTAACGGAAATTATAAGAATGTCTTTTTTCTTCCTTAATAAGGCGCCTAAGTAAAAAAAAAAAAACTGATAGCAATTTTGAAGGGATTGAGTCCAAATAAACTGTAAATAATAACGAAAAAAGCAGTCATTGTTTGATTAGGTCAAAACATGAATTTCTTAATGCGCTAACGACATTACAGCTCAAACTCAAAAATAACACGGACTCAAAAACTCATCACTGATTTAGTTGTAAAAAAGTACCTAATATTTTCATGTAACAACGTACACTTAAAAAATATGTGATATTGCTTTTTATTTGTTAAATCAAGTGTCTTTAGAATTTTGCTTGATTTTCTGGACCGTGGTCCAGGAAAGATTAAGAAACGGTGACTGCACTATTGTCTGTGACGTCATCTACATTAATTTCCATTTCTCATGAGAATTTCCTTGATTGTGCCCTTTTTCAAATCTGGCTTAAAATGTTGCTAGATACATCACTAATGAATTCGTTAATTATTTACATTATAGGTACATGATACTACGGTTTCGTTGAATAGAGACTGGCTAATGTCACTCAATTTCAATTATCTGTTCTAGGTACTAGGTATTCTACTTTCTTCATTATTGATCTAACACACAACACCATTGAACCCCATTTAACATAAATAATCTAAGCCATTTTCTTTAAAATGTAATTAATTTTGATAACTTAAGGATAGACACATATAGTTTTATATATACATAGTAAGGTGTATAGTACAACCTAACACATTTTCTAGTGCCCATTATCATTATTCTCCAAAACCATATTAAAAAAAACGTCAGTGTAGCAAAATGATTATTTCTGAATAATTTGAATATAGCTGAAGTTGTTTTTACACATCTTGAGCCAGCTTGATCTTATCAAGTTTATGTTAAATCTTGTAAATTATAAAAGAGAAATAACAAGACAGAAATAGGCTTTCTTTACAAGCATGCAGGATTAAAATATTCTCACTTTTGCTTTGGAATGTCATTATGAGGTCGCTTTCGTCGATCGCTTGCTGCTCTTCACCGCTCAGTGCCATGTCTGAGCTACGCGTTGGACGGGCCTGCTCATGCTCCTCCGCCAGCTGCTTGTACACGTCCAGAAGGAAACTGGGCGCCGACCGATCCAGCGGTGTCGACCGCGCCCGCCGCGGCCGTTCTCCCAGACCCAGCAGTTCCAGAATCTCGTGCTCCACCACCAACTTTTCATGTCGCGTCATCGCATGATGTATCATCGTTTGGTCACCATTGTCTATATACAAACCGGAGAGTAGAGCTTCCGATAAAGTAAACAAGATCACTATAAATAAGTACGCGCACTGCCACGATAACTTCGCGCCGGCCATGTTCAATGTGAAAGCGGCCGGTCGACTGCGTGCGACTGACGAGCGGAGACGCGGAGGCGCGCGACGGGATCACCCGCGGAACCTGCCCACTCAAGGTGGGCCACAGGCCGCCGCTCCATTCCTCCCTCCCCCCCCCCTTGCCGCACGCATTCATCACGCTTCCACAATATAAACATTGGTCAGCGCAAGCGCACACATCTAGTTAACATTCAATGTTAATACGGCTTATCAACAGACCGACAATAAACTGTTTCTATGTTTTCCTTCCAAGAACTTATTTTTTTAACACTTTATTATTTTATTCCCCACAGATTAGTCCCGTTCCTTCGTAGCGTCTGTCTGAGTTTATGTAAATTTGTTGTGTGATTCACCCGGGCAACGTCGGTGTTAGTCACTCTGTCTAGTAATTAAATTAAATATTACCTACTCTTACATATTAATTAACATGACACCAGGCGACATATTTTATTTCTACGAAAATAATATCTTATCAATTTTTGAAAAAATACGACTCCGAAGGAAACGCGTTTTTCGATAATTTAAGATGCAATTCACCGGAAGTCAGACTAGACACTACCTCTGATGCGCAGTTTATCTACACAGATATATATGATTATCACAAAATTATAAGAAAGACATGAATTATTTCGTATTTTTGTAACGTCCCATAGTGAGGTTCAGATTCTTATTCTCAATCACGTATTATGGACTTCGAAACAAGGAAGGTACCACAACACCCAGATCCGAAACAATATAGAAAAGATAATTTTTTACAATGACTCGACCGGCGTGCGCGCCATTAAGCCATGGAGATCGTCAAAGTAGTATTTAAATAAACTACAAATGGAGGTAAATGGTGCCAGGCCCAAATCTATAACTTTTCCAAGCGGGGCAAAAACTTGACCCCACCCTCCTCCAGCTCCTTGAGTCCTTACTTTGTACTTACTAATTACCGACCTGGGCAACTCTGAGCAAATAAGTCTGACTGCCTAGCAGTAATTAGTCACGCCCACCACAATATCCCACAATCACCACACACAATACTAGAGTTATTAAATTTCCTTGTCGTTTTTATCCCTTGTACTCAATTCCCACAGTTCAAAATACTTACTCGGGTGAAGTGAAATGACCTGAATTTTTGGTTTTTAGTCCCAACCAAATTCCCATCACTTAAAATTCTGAAGGATTTTCAAATGCCTAAAAAGTATCATATTTTCTTATAAGCGAGTCTAGTTCTTCATTGGTCGAAATAACAGGATTATTTTGATTCTTGATTCTTGGACATTTAAAAGGTTCTCGGACACTCAAATGGAAGGCAAAATTATAATCACCAATTAAATTCTTAGTTATTCGTTGAAATAATTCGTTGAAATTTGGATGTATTTTGTCAATTTTTTGGCCTGTATTCTTGAATTGCTCAGACAATTATAATATAACCAACCCTGCTAGAAAGCTAAATTAAACTATACATTTCTAAAACAGAAAGACTTGATCTTTTAAAAAAAGGGACTACTTAATTTACATATTAATTTATATCCAAGCCCCTTATAAAAAATCTGATAATTTGTAATGTACCTAAGCGACAATATTTTTAAGATATCAAAGTTTCGAATATCGAAACTTTATATTAATGTAAGGAACATTTTAATGAGTTATAATAAGTGACATTATTATATTCAAAGTTATAAGTATATGTCATATTAAGTTCTTTGAAATTTTTTTTTTTTTTAAAAGTGTTCCTTCGTCCACAATTTTTAAGATATCCTTTAGTTGAAAAAAAGGATACTAATGTGTTGTTTATCTTACAAAAATAATGTCAGATAGTAAGGCATTGGGTTAAGTCTGTGTTTTAGTAACTTGTCCCTTACTATAGGTATTGGTTTGTTTACAATGCTAATTGTATTTAGTCTAAGTACTAGAGACTCACTTATTAGTGAAAGATAATAATACGCGTTTTAAAATGCATCATAATTTAAAACGTGATGAGACTTTAGTTGTTGCTAGCTTTGACCTTAAAAAAATATTAGCGTCTCCTTAAGATACATATATTTTGGTATTTTCACAAGCAAAAATAAAAATGTTTTATTCCCACTGTTCAAACCTTTTTTATATGTTCTGGTCAAATACTCCCAAAAAAATTCATGGTTAATACATAAACCTTCTTAATAAAGCTTCTATCAAAAATTGTCGTATACCTGTGGTCATAATGGTTTGATATGAAGTTCTTAGCAAAAAATAAAAATGAAATACAAAAATTAAAAAGCAATCGCATTGAAAAATATATAGTATAGTATATATGGTGTAAATAACACTATAAACATGCTATGTATGAGTATTATGAGATTTTTTCTTGTCTACGAGACTTTAAATACTGATTTATCAAACTGTTTTATTTACATTTATGCAACTATACATGAGAACCAAACCTAACCAAATTCTGAAAAATTTTTTTTATATAAACCCATGAGGTATTAAAAACACTATTTATAAAAATGCTATTATGATATTTTCTTGTCTAACATCCAGTTGCACCAACATCCATTAAAATTGACATTAATTTAAAGCGACATCACCCATACAAATTTGATATTCATTAGAGTTTAAAGGAATCGTTAAACCTTAATGGACGTTTGTGCAACTGATCGATTGTCTACCAAGGCTACTGCTGTAACGTTTGAATTTTTAGTAACGACCGTTTAGTGGGTTATCCTGTTGTTTTAAAAACCTATCCAACGATACAAAATAGAAATATCATCTCCACTTTACATAGAGGAGGCATCCTAAAATATTTTATTTTAGATTTTTTTTTTACCACTTGTCGGTATAATTAACGTATATACTCATGCCAAATTATAATTTTTAGCTAAACCGCAGACGGACGGACAGACAGGCGCACATGGTTCCTTGTTAGCTACGCAACCATATTTTTTTTAAACAGTTGACCACAGTTAAGTACAGTGATATATTTTTTAATGTAATGGGCATGCTGTCTATCAAACCGCTTTGTTTTCTTTACTTAAGCGTTTATAGCTTCTGAGAAGGGAAATCGGTATCTTAGAATTTTTGCCCTAGAAACAAATTTAACTGGACTTAACTGTAACAATGGCAGATAGCCATTGTTACAGTTAAGTCTAGTTAAAATTAGTCTACTATTTTAACTGGACTTAACTACGACTAGAAAAACCTTTTTATGGGTCTTCTGAAAAGTCGTATTTTGTCCCTTACATTAATTGATATTTCCAGTATTGACTATGCACTTTGTTACTACTTTTAGTCTTCTTTTCCATAATTACCCATCCATCAATTTCAATACAACATAAATACCAAAAAGCCATACGTTACCCTTCAACACAACACTACTATATTTGTGTGTTGTTTTTGAAAAAATACCCCAAATAAAATAAAAAAATAAATAAAAATATTTTATATTTAAGACATGAATTACAATAATCTACTACTAAAAATAATTTACTTTACATACTTTTCCATAAACTTCTTATGAAATTCAGAACGCAAAGAATCATTAATAAAAGTATTGGGTTTCTTCTCAGGTTCCGAACGAGCACAGTTCTTGAAAACTACATCGTCATCCCATCGTCGTTTCACCTGTAAAAATATTTTTTATTAGCTGACACAAATACATTTATTACCACAATCTCATGATGAACACTTATAAATTTGAACATTACTTGTAAAATGAATAACTCAATTATACAGTTACAACTCGTGCAAATTAACATGGCCCCAGAGGGCCTCTTTTTGTCCCCGAATGTCATTTTGAAAAATGTTGAATCCCTCTTAAAATTTTGTTAAAATCACGACTGTGAAAATTATCCTTGCATTGGGGGTAGTGTCAGTTCCTACCTCCCAGGGTTTGGAGTGATAATTATAAAACATCACTATATACACAAACTTTTTTTGTACTTTAGGACTTGTTATTAAAGGGGAATCATATTTAAACAACAATCAAACATGTTTTTATAACCCTAAAAACAATACACTCTTTTTTGAGTCATGTAAAAAGCCCTAAACTTCAGTTACTCTTTCAACCCACAACAGGGTGGTTGACCATAGAATATTTAATTATATATTTTACCTTTAAATCATTTTTTTGTCCAGTGGCTGCATAATTTAACAAAGGATTTCCTGATAAAATATTTTCCATGCGTATCCTTTCTTCTTCTTGTTTTTTTTCAGCTTCCTGTAATTACCAAATGGAATCCTTTACATTACAAAAATTTAAAACTAACATAGTGTTAGACAGGTTTATACATGAAGAGTTCTATACCATTAACTATGAAAAAGGCATGAAAGTCTGCCCATAGCACCAAGCAGTGCAGGCTAAATATAACATATAAAACTAACTTTTTAATAGTCTCACAGCCAGTTGAACAAACGTCCATTAAAATGTTCATTATTTTAAAGCGACATTACTCATACAAATTTGACATTCATTAGAGTTTAAATGCGTCATTAAACATTAATGGACGTTTGTGCAACTGACCGTCAGTCTAAGGGTTGTGTTAACTTTTTTGTTTCATATTCCCATAATAGAAGAGCTTTAGCTATTAAATATAGTATCTGAGCAGTTTATATTTTCTAATATTTATAGTTGGTATGATTTTTTCCACATTTGTTACTTAAACATATCATAATAATGCTTTCCACAAAATAATTCTGGCAAGGCTCTCTAAATGTACTTTACCCATACAAAATTTATAAAATTATCTATTTTAGAATTATCTATTAACTTAAAGAAATACAGGAATATACAATAATTTAAAATCATTTTAATTATTATAATTAACATTAATATTTTTTTACAATGGTATTCAAATGGCACAATATTAAAGAAAAATAAAGACACAAAATGATGCAAACACTTAAGCATTACACAAAATTTCAATCTCATATCAATTTAATTCAATGTATAATAAAAGAAAAAAAAATAAATATAAAATATCAATCTAATTCATCATATTCATACAACAACACTTAGGTAGTGTTTGTTAATTATTCATTCAATCTAACATATAGAAACACCCCTATAACAGATGTAAGATTTCCTCAATTTTGTTTTAAATTTATTAGGACTTATAATAGACAAGTGTAATTTACCTTTTTGGCTTGCTCCAATGCTCTTTCCTTCTTGATTTTGTTCAGCTCTGCAAGCAATGCTGCTGTATCATCATCAGAGTCATCTGAATCTGATGAATCACCTTCTAATGGATCATCAGCATCCAAGCTTGCTGCTGGAACTTGGTCAATCTTAGCTCTTTTTACTACTGGCTCATTCTGTCTACGAATATTGACAATCTTCGTTTCTTTTTCCCTCTCATCAAGTTCCTTGCGAAAGTCACGAGATCTCAGTTCCTCAGTTGTGCCCTGACCTTGTTCTCTGTGACAAGTCAAATTTGTTTTCACAAACAATATAATGTAAAACATGTCCATCAACAATCAAGCAGAGTGTGAACACAAATCAATTTCAAATCTTGGATTAGGGTAGGTATATTATTATACATAACTAATAGTGATAACACAATATTAGAAAACTATAAGCTGAAGATTTTAAATAGATAATCTTAATTTATTCCATGTTAAAACGAAAAGTAAAGTAAGGAGATAAAGATCTGTTTAAAAACATATATGAATATTTGATCTTGAATGTAAAACAAAATTTTAAACAAAACATATTATGTATTGATATTATTACGAACAGTAGAGACTTACCTGTACTTTAATTTTGTGTGTCCTGGAAGATCTCTACTAGAATATTGACGAGAAATAGCACTTAAATCTTTTTCTCCGCGTCCCTGACCCCCTCTCGCAGGATCAAACGTAGGTCTAGCAGCAGTCGTCATTTCTGATGTACTTCTTTAAAAAGCTTGAAAATTGAAATAGAGTTTGACGTTCAATTCAATCCATACAGAACTAAAGCCGTAGTGGTATTAGAATTTATGTAAAACGTAGTATTTCAACTTTAACTTAAGTATAGTGTTTCAGCGATAACCAAGACTAAACAAAACTATCACAGTATTATGATTAAAGTGGGAAATTAATTTATTTCACCAAAGAGTAGTATTATTAGTGGTGTGTGGAATCGATTACCATTAATCTATTAAACGGTTTTATAAATAATCAGTCACTATCGATTATGATTTCGTAATCTAAAATTAACAGTCTATTATTTCTTAAAACGTTAGCAATAGGAATAGTTTAAAACATTAGAATAGTACCTACTTACTTTACTTCGATGGCTCAGCAACCCTTAGCGGATCGCGTGTGAATATTATTAGTAGGTTTTCTATTACTTCTTACGGCAACCCTGGAATACACGCACGAACAATTAAGTAACTTAACTCTTTGGTCGGGAACACAGACGAATAAGAGATACTTGGTCGGGAACTCCCGATGAATGAATGAACGGATTTTACAGTTTTAATTTAACAAATACAAATAGACCTTATTAAATACACATTTTTTTGTCTGTCTGTTTGTTCCGGCTAATATCTAAAACGGCTAGACCGATTTTGACGGGACTTTCACTGACAGATAGCTTATGCGATAAGGAATTACTAAGGCTACTTTCCACGCGGACGAAATAGAATTAGTTTTCAAAACTTAATAAACAACTCATATTCTATTTATACTTTTTCGTATTTGTGTTGATATATAAGTTTCGAACTTTTCAAATTTAATTTTTATAATATGTTAGTTAAAAGGAATGGAAATGACTGTCTTTGGTCTATTCGTTTCCTGCAAAAAATCAACTTTTGCTAGAGTCGCCATCTAGTGGAGGTGTTTTTAGTGCTTTCTTTTTTTTTAAATACTTCCTTATTGGTCGTCGTCGCAACCATAAACTACATATTGATGTCGCAACCAATAACAGGTTCTGTTTATCGTTAGGGTCGTCATCCGTAAACAGGAAACTATCACGTCAAAACAGTGATATTAAACATACGCAAAAGAAATTTGCATTTATACATACAATTTGTAGATTATTTTTATACAAAAAAATCAGAGTAGACCCATTTCTATAAAACATAAAATTTAATTTTCCTTCTGTAATACTATTCGTTTACTTCGTAAATAAATAGATACATAGACATATTTACCGGCGTGTAACGTCACAAATACCACTTGCACGCGTTGCATGACGAACTCGAGAACTCTGTGTTTAACACCAAATGTCAATTATCTCAGGTTGAGAGTAAGATAACGTATGAGTTATCTTACGTTAACATTTATGTGTAAACAAAATGTTTTCGAGTTCGTCATGCTACGCGTTCATCAGCGTAATTAATAGAGCAACGTTTTTTGCGCAATAATAAAAATCCAATAATAAGAGATTTTATATTAATTTTAGATTTAAAAAATGTATAATTCTGTCGCGAACGCGATACAAATATTTTTAATTGCTGTGTACTAATCGAATGGCGACGGCTAGGAATCGAGTTCCTTGCCGGTGTCGAGGCATACGTTGTAGATCATAGTCTGTGTATAGTTCTTTCAAGAAAAAAATATATTTCATAATTGGTCTGTTGCACTATTGCCAGATTAGGGAGATTTCCTCCAATTTTGGGGATTTTTTATAGCTATGGCGGGAAAATTGGGGCATGAAATCTATGGTGTTTTTTTGGAGGGAAGTGAACGGATTTGGGGTCTAATGGGGGGATTTTTTTAATGATTTGTTTTTCTTAATCACTACAAAGCTAATACTCATTTCAAATTGGAATTTTTCTTCAATATATTCATCTATTTCATACTTTCTCGTTTAAATAACCATAACGCGTTAAATACAACGTATTAGGTGTTCCTGTCTGTCTTACTCACGCTTGATGAGAGTTAATCGAGAGAATCGTCCTATAGCGCTACGCTTCATAGTGAATAATTTGTGTGGCCATGCTTTGCTGCTTCAAAATTTGGCCTTTTATGCAAGTACCTACATCGCTTAGCAATTAGTTATAACCTTTACTGCTTACTGTACGGTTTATACCGATATGAAAATCTCCATATTTAACTTTTTGGGACTTTTTTTATGGAATCAAGAAAGTACCATAGCAACATCTAGTTTGAATTCGGGAAATTTTAAATACTTCCTCATTCAGTTCAGTACTACCAACCCTTCTGTTTTAACAGTAGATTTGTATTTTTCTCATTGAGGCTCCTGATTTTCTAATTATTACGGTTTTATAATAAGCATTTAGCACCACCATTTATGATTTCACTAAGTGAGTATTTTTGTTTAATCACTGTGTACAAAAACGCAAAGACTCCACTAGATGGCAATATTTACTTTTGTCAGGTCTATGGCCACATCAAATAGATTTTTTCCACCGTAAATCTACCAACATCACATAGTTTTTTTTTTTAATTTTGTATATTATAATAATATACCAATGTATATAAGTCCTATTAACTAATAAAAGTATGTATTTGTGTTATGAAACAAGAAATAAAAAACTAAAATATGATAAATTAAAATAAATAATTAATTACATTAAATAAAAAAAATAACGGACGAGGTGACTGTTGAGGTGAGAAGTGAAGTAGCAGCTTCAGAAGAAAGTGGTGAAGGAAGTAGAATAATGTAGTGTTTATTTAATTATAGCCAAAATGGTGTCAAGTGACTTTGAAACCGTAACTTTGAAGAGTTCCCGGGGCAGGCGGCCCCGGGAAATAGGCCTTTTAAGAATTTAGCTAGCTGTGTACGAGTTCCAAAAAGCTAACTTGGCAACTGTTGCCGTTGAAGTGATCCAGAACTATTTTGGCGAGGCTTTATATACCTGAAGACGAACTCAAATTTAGAAGTAAATTATTTCAAATTAGAACCCTAAAAATTCAAAAACTACAGAGTTTCAATGCCTAAAACTGACAAACAATGAGTCAATTTTCATGAAGAGTATCAAATATAACCATAGCAACGAAGAAAACAATTAAAATTAGCGATAAATTGTGTAATATTATATAAATAAGTGCTTTAATATGATTAGAATTCGTAAAATGTATAACGAAAAACTATGAAAGCTACAGGTAAGGGTTCACATTAGTGTAAGTAGTTAAAAACATAGGATGAAGGTTCGTAAAGGTTTGGATAAGTTTATATTACAGAATTTTAATGGTTATAGGTATAAAATTGAAGGTCCACTGTTATAGAATGGAGAAAGTAAAGAATATAAATGGAAAACATTAAAAAGTTTATCGATATGAGCAAAATTAGTGATATGAATGAAAACGATACGAAAGGTTAGTTACGACAATTGATTTAATTATATGAGTACAGTATGAAATATGCCGTTTTTCACTGAATCTAGTGTTTTCTCTCGTTTGCTTAATGGTGAGTTGTCGTTGTCTTGTCTTTAGTAATCTAAATCTAATCAATGTTTCTTTATTTGCAGCAATATCCATCAGTCCTGTCAAATTGGTTGACTTTTATGAAGGAAAAAGTCAAAGTTTTAAATGAATGATTTGCTTACTGTATTATACTATAATAAGAAAAGGTCATTTTTTTTTAATACTGTGTTTTTGGGGGATTTGCAGTGAAATTTGGGGGGAAAGTCATAACAGCATATGGCAACACTAATCTGTGGTCAACAAGTGACAGTTACCATCTCCAGTCTCCTTCTTCGTCTGTGAGTTTAATGTACTCTTTGGTGTCTGGGGAGAAGGCTTGAAAGTAGTTGGATTTTCACAATTTTTATGTTTTAGATAATTCATTCACTCAGGTTTATATTCAACTATCGACATTATTATTAATTAACGAAAAAAGGTAAGAGAATATGTGTTATTTAGTTTTTAAACAATATTAATCTAAACTGGTGGATGGCGCAAGCATACGATTAGACGCCATTTTGTGAAGCAGAAATGAAATTCTACTGTAACCCTATTTTCTTTGTACCTATTTAGTTTTGCTATTTCCTGATAGCTAAATCTGCGAGTCGTTATTGTTCATAATGTGATCAATATTCAATCAAATGAACTTGCTCACCCTTTCTACATATAGTATTTAATTGTACCTAATACTGCTATGAATACCCATATTCCTTAAATATTGTACTTTTATTTTATTATAGGATGGCAGAAGACTTTGATGTAGAAGCTATGCTAGAAGCTCCATACAATAAATCGGTGAGTACTTGTTAAGTCGCGTCTATTATATTATGTAAAAATAGTAATTACTCAATAACCTTATTCCTGTGCTTGGAATATGTAATACTCTCATGAATATGAATAATTTCATTTTTATGTATTATTTTAGAGCCCGCTAAGGGTAGCTATTCTTAGATAATGTACCTGGAGTGATGTAAAAAAAACATTCTCTCAAGTATGAAGATATTTTTTATTACCATGCTTCAGAAACAATAATTGATTTGCTGTAATATATAGTCTTACTTATAAAAGTTTTGAAGAATTAACTAACTACTTACTTAATGATACAATGATTAAAGATTTTTACTTATGTACATTTCACTGCTTAATCACAAATTTACCAATAAATGCTCTGCGAATATATACATATATCTTCACGCCAGATCCCTTTTAGGGTGTATAATAGACTAACACAAAAAAAATCCTATTTAGACGCAGTAGACAGTTAAAATTTAAATTACTGTTGTCAATGTTAGGTATTTCAGAACTTGCTACAAATATTATATCATAGAACTAAAAGACTTCAAACTAAAACAAACTTTTGTCCACAGTTCCCATTTGTGGTCATTTCTTTTTACCTATTGATTATGACTTGAGTCTAGATAATGTTGAATAGCACAATTGTATCTATGTCCAAGGAATATGTTGATTTAATTTCTAGCACCAGTTCAACATTGTAAATGGTACAGAGCTAAAAACTGTAAACTTTTTGTGAATTTGGGATGTGTATTCAGTATGATTAAAAAAAAGATACTTGTCATATCTGAAATTTAATTAATATACATAAAAACTTCTAAATCTGACATATAATAAACCACATCAAAATTGGTTCAGCCAAATGCCTGGTACAAATATACATACATACAGGTCAAACCGAGAACCTCATTTTTTATGAAGTCTGTTTAAAAATGTATCTTTATTAATCATTTAACATTTATTTGAAATATGAGATATAATATTGTTATTATTTTTCATTTCATTTTTGCACATATTTAAAGTCTGCATCCACAAATCTGCATCTGTAGATCTCATAAAATGGGCATCTACATCATCCCTAATGTTCAGTGTTTTTTTTGCTAAGTGATGTCTGACTACTTAATTTAAAACTTTGATACTTATTAAGAGTTAAGAAATGTTTATAAGTAAGAAATATTTATATACAAGCTATTTAAAAATTTAACTTATGTTTATAAATAAGGCTGCGTAATGTTTTTTTTATGTCAATGCCATTTTAATCATAATTATAATATGTAATGCTGCATAAATATTGTTCTACTTAGGTCTAACTGCTCAAAGATGTAATTCATCAAATCTAAACTAAAGGCAGAACTTTAAAATTCATGATTGTTTTCATCTTTGAACAGTTCATAGTAAAATTATTAAACAAAATTACATTTGAGAATCATTTCTTATATTTATAGAACTTTGTGGTAATAGTCCAGCATACTTCACCGACCTGAACAAAGAGAGGTATCCACTACTATACTTACATTTATTTCTTTTCTTATTATTTAACAAATTTTAACGATAAAAATTAAAAGTTCAGTGAAGTCCAATTCTGTATAGACAATATTTAAGAACAAAAAGACCGTGCGCTGATGGGTCTTAAATCTTTTACAGAAGTATCCCTGTGTGATGTTAGCGCTGTGTGCGACCTTTGTCAGTGATTTTTTTACCGGTAAGTGTAGACCAGGGCAGGGGGACTGATAATCACTCTGACAAAGCTGTCAAAAGGATGGCCATCTTCAATAGTATAAGCAAAGTAATGTCCTGACATGTGTGTTCTTTCATCAGTGACCATTACCAAAGGCAATGATGAAACATCACAGATGATCATAATATTTAAATTATAAACTAATGCATTTTTATTTATTCACTCGGCGTGTGTTGCTGTTGGCGCTGCTTCTACCTTGTGCTTTGTGTGACAGGATAACACTTCCTCTTCAAGGCATCGATCTGACAAGTATTCTGATAAGCACAAAGACAAAGATCGAGATGGCGGTCGAAGGTGAGATATATCAAATGCTCTTTCATAACATACTAGCTTTCCAACAGCGGTTTCGCCCGCGTGATCTCTAGGAAACTGTTTATTTGGACATCACATACTTATAATGTAGCTAGCTACCAGTAGGTGCAAGAATTTTTAAAATTGATCCAGTAGTTTCAAAGCCTATTTGTTGTAAACATACAATCAAATTAAAAGCATTTCAATTATTAATGTAATAACGATTTCTTTTATTATTATTAAAACATGTATTTTATTTATTGCTAGACGAAGCCGTTCAAGAGATAGAAGACGATCACGTGAAAAAGATTTGCATAGAACAAAGGATAGAGATGATAAAAAGGAAAGGGAGCGTGACCGAGATAGGGAACGCAGAGACAGGGATAAGGATCGCAGCCACAAAGACCGCGATAAAGAAAAGGAAAAAGAACGTGATAGAGACAGCAAACGTAGCAAAGACAGAGATCGCAGCCGTGAGAGAGATCGAAGCCGCGAGAAACATTCTCATAAGAGGGAAAAAAGCAGAGAAAAGGATAAAGAATATCGTTCTAAATCTAGAGGTGTGGAGCCTAAATTAGACGATCTACCACCAGAAGAGCGTGATTTGCGGACTGTATTCTGTATGCAATTATCACAACGTATTAGAGCTAAAGATTTAGAAGAATTTTTTTCATCAGTTGGTAAAGTTAGAGATGTAAGACTCATTACATGCAACAAAACTAGGAGATTCAAGGGAATTGCTTACATAGAATTCAAAGATGCCGAATCTGTACCATTGGTATGTAATTAATCGTATAGCTTTTTTTTTAATATTTTTATAAGAAAAATTTTGTTACCTATTTTTCCTGTTTTAGGCTTTGGGGTTGACCGGACAAAAATTGTTAGGAGTTCCTATTATTGTACAACATACACAAGCAGAAAAAAATAGAGTGGGTAACACTTTGCCTAACTTGGCCCCAAAAACAAGTAATGGACCTACTAGACTATATGTTGGTTCCTTACATTTCAATATAACTGAAGATATGTTAAGAGGTATCTTTGAACCGTTTGGTAAAATAGATCATATTCAACTGATGACTGATCCTGAAACTGGCAAAAGTAAAGGCTATGGTTTTCTCACGGTATGTATCATTGTTAAATTATATGTTATAAAATTTTTCAATTATTATTAATGAGATTGTTTTCAGTTTCATCATGCAGCAGATGCAAAAAAAGCCATGGAGCAATTGAATGGCTTTGAATTAGCAGGAAGACCAATGAAAGTGGGAAATGTTACTGAACGCACAGATGGTGGTGCTAGCACACGATTTGATGCAGACGAATTAGATAGAGCTGGAGTAGATCTTGGTGCTACTGGTAGACTTCAGCTGATGTTTAAATTAGCTGAAGGAACAGGGCTTCAGGTTAGACTATTTTTATAATACTCATACTCACAGTACACAGAGAAGACTGATTATAGTATCTTCCTATTATTCACACAACTTAACTTTCTTTTTCACACTATTGTATAAATTTAGTTTTTTGAACTGAAGATTTCCATTTACTAATATTATAAAAAGGAAAGATTTGATTGCTAATTTTTTTACAATGGATAAGGTCCGGAACTGCTGGATGATTTAAAAAATTCTATAATTATTACATATAGGTTATAACTTACGCGGGCTAAGTCGTAGTTCTAGTGTTACACAGCCTTGACAAATTATTTTGGATGTATTTCAGATCCCACCTGCAGCAGCATCGGTGCTAATGGGAGCAGGCTCAGCAATGGCCAACCCCCAACCACAGGTTGCTCCACCGATAGCCACACAGTGTTTTATGCTCAATAATATGTTTGATCCTGCCAAGTAAGTTTATATTTTTTATGTTTAAATATACCCGTTATCTATACAATTGTCATTTGTTATATTAAATTTTTGTTTGTTTTTTTTAGTGAAACCAATCCTAATTGGGATATTGAGATAAGAGATGACGTGATAAGCGAATGTAATAAACATGGCGGAGTTCTACATGTCTATGTCGATAAGGCTTCACCCCAAGGAAATGTTTACTGCAAGTGCCCCACAATAGCAACCGCTGTAGCTTCTGTTAACACATTACATGGGCGATGGTTCGCGGGACGTGTTATTACGGCGGCATATGTTCCACTCGTCAATTATCATTCCTTGTTCCCGGATGCTATGACCGCTCTCACTTTACTCTTACCGTCAAGACAACGGTAATTTATATGGCATGATTAAACCTGACAGCATTTAATAATGGAGAATATTTATTTTAAGGGAATTGTGTGCGTCGTTTTAGTTATAGATAACGATCTATCTATATTTTCTTTTAGTAAATAAATGGTTAGATATTAAATATTTCATTTCAATCAACCAGATATCAGTGATTTACCTTTGTTATATAACCGTTGTCGACTGTGTTGAATATTCCTTTAAAATAGACTCATTTCAATAATAAACTTTTGGGAGTCATTCACGAAAACCGTCAATTTATTGGTGGACACCAGCAGGAACAAGTCGTAAATTTTCGATTTGCGGTAAAAGTATATCCCATCTCATACATAAAAAAATGGGTTTGACGCATACCGTCCCATTCGCATTCGGTCACGAATTCAAAAATGGTCCCATTCGCATTCGGTCCCATTCGCATTCAGTCCTATTCGCATTCGGTCCCATTCTCATAATGGTCAAAACCAGTGGGGTGAGCACGGGTTCCTCGATAGTATCGTATCGAATTCGTATTGAGCAAATTTGTATGTAACTTTTAGTGGCGCCCATGGCGGAGAGTAGCGAAACTAATCATTTTCCATACTAATTTCCTCGTACGAATTCGATACGATACTATCGAGGAACCCGTGCTCACCCCACAGATAAAAGTTGTTTTTAACATTTTCAACCTACAAGTTGAACTTTGGTATTGTTTCAAAAAAGGTAGGCTTGAAAATAAAAACATAGCTTTAAATAATTATGTGTAATGTTCCAAAATCAAAATTCTTACAAATTCAACATAACAATTAAGGTATTATTTAAAAATATCAACATTCATATGAAAATAAAAAACGTCCTGTTCATTGTAAAAATTATGGTGATATAGGTATTCCAAAATCAAATAATTTAGGATACTCGTAATTGTTACAACAAGTGCCGCCATCTATTATATCGAAGTCTACTCATTCAAGTATATTAGGTTGTTAATATAATAGTTAATAATCAATAACATAGATGGCAGTTGTTACATATTTGCATAACTATATTTTCCCTCAAAGCTATTTTAATATTTATTTTTGAGTTAAGAAACTTATTAATTAATTAAAAAAATACAATAAACTTCTGATTAAACTGAATTGTAATGCAATAAATCTGCAAGAATTTATGAAAAAAATTACATTTCTACAGTTGGTGAAATAATAAATACCTACATTATATCAACATAAATTTTTCAATAAACAGGACGTTTTCTTGTTTTCCTATGAATGTTGATATTTTTAAATAATACCTTAATTGTTATGTTGAATTTGTAAGAATTTTGATTTTGGAACATTACACATAATTATTTAAAGCTATGTTTTTATTTTCAAGCCTACCTTTTTTGAAACAATACCAAAGTTCAACTTGTAGGTTGAAAATGTTGAAAACAACTTTTATCTGTGGGGTGAGCACGGGTTCCTCGATAGTATCGTATCGAATTCGTACGAGGAAATTAGTATGGAAAATGATTAGTTTCGCTACTCTCCGCCATGGGCGCCACTAAAAGTTACATACAAATTTGCTCAATACGAATTCGATACGATACTATCGAGGAACCCGTGCTCACCCCACTGGTTTTGACCATTATGAGAATGGGACCGAATGCGAATAGGACCGAATGCGAATGGGACCGAATGCGAATGGGACCATTTTTGAATTCGTGACCGAATGCAAATGGGACGGTATGCGTCAAATCCAAAAAAAATCTCACTCGAATGTTGTTTAAAAAGGAATCATTAAAAATTTGTAATCTTTGTAAGTTATAAAGAATATATTTTTAACATATTATTCACTACTAAAAGATCAGAAATAAAAACCTCCCAACTCCTTGCTAACAGTTAAAAGTTAATACGTATTTAACAGCTCCTTTTATTTTAGCTGAATTGAACTCTGCAATAAAAGCTAGAAAAGATACGTCAAGTAACTTGGATAATATAACATATAAAATGCTGAAGCTAACTAAATTGTCAAAATTTTGATATTTTTTTAGAGATAAAAAATGGACTCTGATATAATAATCTGACACCCGATGATTGGAAAGTAGACTAAATTATCCCTGTTTTAAAACATAACAAGCCTAGAGACAACCCTGATTCATATCGCCCAATAACGTGAACGTCTTGTGTAGGTAAATATTCGAACATTTATTAAAACGGCACTTAGAATATTATGTGGAAAATAATCATTTATTACCAAATTATCAGTTGGGCTATCGAAGTGGTCGTTCTGCTAGCTTGCATATTTATTGATATTGTCGGAGCTTTTAATAATGTTAATATTCATACTTTAACGGAAATCTTATCATAATTAAGTATTCCTCCGAAAATATTAGATTGGATATACAATTTGAACCTTTCAGAACTGCAACAAAAATTAAACACCACACTTCTTCTTTTATTAATGGCTTATCTGCGCATTTCACACAATTCTGCCAATGTCAAGTAAATAAATTTATTTCTACATGTAAAATAAAAACGAAACGAATGAAAGATGGCGATGATCAATCAACACCATACTTTCCAAACTGGGTATTTATTTTGATTACCTAAATTTACATGTCAATGTAAATAAAAGTAAAGTAGTAGTTTTTAGGATACGAAATGTATTCTATAAATACATCTTTCAATTTATTCTATAAAGGTCAACGACTTTCATTGGAATCATCAGCAACATTTTTAGGGAGTAATTTTTCAGAATAACTTTGTTTGGAAAGAATATGTTGACTGTATAATAGAATGAGCTATTAGAGCTACCAATATCCTCAAAACCCTTGTAAATACCCAGTGGGGTGCTGATCCAAAAAAAATAAGGCTTTAGACAGAAGCCATTTCGAATATGCTTTTTTTTTTGTTTTGCATCCGACCTATTAGTAGAAAAACTTGAAAAAAATACAAAACAGCTATGAACACATCTCCGATTGATTCCATGCAAATTAAAAGTAGTTTACCTCCTTTAACTAATCGTTTCGAATTTCAAGAAACGCTGTTTATAAAACTTATAAGAATTGATAGTAATTTACTTTTTATTAAATTAACAAATGATAATATACCGTCATACTTATGCTAAATAGATACAAATTATATTTTTAAAATTAAAAGCTGATATTGTTACAACGGTGAATACATAAGCAAATTCCATGAAATGAAAATAATTGTAAATATGATGTATATAATGAGTTGAATTTTTAGGCTGAATATAGACAAATTTATACTGACGGAGCGAAATCGATGAAAATATTTCAATGGCTATTTATGATATTCCGACAAAAACTGGTCAGGGGTTAAAATTACAAAAGAATGCGAGCATTTATTCGACTGAAGCTGATGCTATTTTGGCAGCTTTACAATATATTAAAAAATGGATTATTGTTAGTGACAGTATGACCGTTTTACAAGAACTATCGAATTCAATGTTTTTGGCTAATACAAACTAATACATAACATCAGAGAAATCCATCATCTTATTCTGGACTCCATCTCATATTGGAGTAAGTGGCAATGAACAAGCTGACTCTCTTTCGAAGTTCATTACTAATACAAATGATAATGTGCCTAAAGCAGATATGTGAGTAGCATACTCTGAATATGTTCATTTAATTAAAAATAAAATGTTTAAAAAATGGCAGCAGCATCGGCAAGAAACCTTGCAATCAAAAGGAAGTTGTTATCATAATATAAATTCATTTATATCTAAGCCGTGGTTCATTAAAAAAATATATATTGACAGAAAATTTTATACTGTTAAATGTAGATTGCGCATTAGACATAGACGATTTAATGAGTACTTGCATAGAACGCGCATGATCTCCCCCCCATCATGCAACTTTTACAATTCTGGCAATCAAAGTTTAGATCATATCTTTTTGAATGTTCACACTTCTTGGTGCAACGTTGGTAATTTTAACCAATAATTTGTTGGATATCTACAAGAAAGCAGATAACATCCCGCCTGCGTTATATGAACTTCTAAAAAATCCCCAGTGTTATTTTGTCTTCTACAAATGTATTCAAAATAAGTAGGTAAACACTTCAATTTGACGTTACTCTTCTGTGATTGCTAATTTGTTTACGCAGGATGTTCGTGCTCGGTCAACAACTCTGTATTTTAATTTATAAGAATACTGCTAATTGTCATATTGGCGATCATATCAAAATGTCTTCCTGTTCTTCAGTGCGTATTAGATGCTATGCGGCGACGATCGAAAATAAACGATTTACTTGATTAAGATGATGCAATTATTCAAATATTTACTTTGTGACAACATGCTTTATTCCAAACAATTACTAAACAGCCTTTATCCAGTCAATTTCTAGAGTTGCAGGACCTTTTTGTTTGACTGGCTGATACACGCCTCCATACACTTGAATACCCAAACTGGAGATTTGTGATGTGTCAAGTGTCTCATTATTATTCACTCTCTTGCCCCTATAGTAAGCCTTAAAATCCGTAAATAATAAGTTTTTAACTTCAAACTCGTCTTTGGGTGCCTGGAAATAAACAGTCATCTTGATATTATTATGAGCAAAAATATCAGTAAGTAGGTACTTTCTATGATAGATTGGACCTATGAACAAACGGCTAAATCCTGCATATTGTATATAGCACTAGAAGATCACGAAAATTAGAACGACACAAATGTTATATACCTATGTTTTGTTAACTAACCTGGAAGTTTTGTTCAAAAGAGTAATTTGGTTCATCGTTTAAATCTTTATGTCTGAGTACCATTTTATAACCATTGTATTGTCCTTGACCTCTACATCGTATTTGCAGCATGGTGTGCCCTGTCAAGTTAAATCTTTTAATAGCACGAATCCCAGCAAATCCAGCACCGTTAGGTTGAGGATTCAAAAGAGCGAAAAATATAGCTCTTCTGAAGCCTAAATTTTGGTGAAGAACGAATACTGCCTTCGACATCCCTACGTCACGAACTGTATCAGATTGTTCTTGCCAAATGTCGACACCGTCACTTTTAGTGAAATCAAACAGATATTGTTCGGCAACCATTGCATCACTCCTGAAAACATAAAAAAAAAACAATGTTTGAAGGTGCCTTTGTAAGAATTAAGTTAATTTTGATATTACAATCAGACAATTTTTAATGAATCGCGGAAGATCAGAAATTCCCTTAAATTAATAATTTCCAAAATCTATGCACCAACTGAAGTTTAGTACCGCGCTGGTTGTTCAAAAGTAATAGAAAAATATATAATGTGGAAACCATTCAAAATTAATCAGCTGTGCTGAATTAAAACGCGACCTATCAGAGAAATGAATGGATCAGAGACCTTTTTCCTGAAAATATGTAGGTTAAAATAGCAAGATAAAAAAGTGAAACAGAAAACGATCTTTGCGATCGTTACCACATTTAAACACGGTATTAAAACAGTTATGTATGTTATCTGTAACGTACATTTTAATAATGGACGCATCCTCAAGAGGGCGCCTAATTAAAAGAAAAAGAACTAATTTTGAAGACTTTAAATGAATTACGTAGTTATCTCTTCTTGTTTTATATTAACTACTCTGACGGTATTATTACCGGATAAAACAACCAATTAAGTAAACAAAAGACAAAGTTCAACGTACTTACCTATAGATATTGAGAAAACTTATAAAAATTGATAAAATTATATATATATTACAAAAGAAATACATGATCTCTTTCACTTAACTATAAACGGTTATTAAGATATAGAAATGGGACCTAGTGGACGTAAAATAGAGTTAAATTATAAGCACAATACAACCTACTTCTCGATCTAAACAAGACGAATGTCTCTTGAACGTTTGACACTCTTATCACCAATAATAAAGTGATGTTAATGACGTCTTGCGTATCTTGTGTTTTTATGTCACACACGAGATTACACAGTTCGATCACAGTATGACAATGTTCGATTGCAAGGAAACGAGCAGCCAATAACATCTTACAAAGCTCGAATTTCTTAAATCGATTATAAACCTTAGTCTATGGTCATGTAAGTCCAAAGTAGAATATAAAATATGACTGTGCCTCTCGACGCAAACATTATGCTGCTGTATGTGACAATAATATAAGGACGGTATTTGTTTAAAGATAGTATACGCGTGCCTTACTACATTGTTAAACTTTTGGACTATGAAAAAGGGTCCAATACCTATAATTACTTGACAATAAGTACTTACATGGTACGTTCTAAATAAATAGAATTATCATGCTAGTTAGTACCTTACATAAAATAGAATACAATATTATTCAAAATTTTTTATAAAGAATATCTACATAATTGATAAAAAAACACACTTGGGTTAATAATACACTCGTATTGTTCTATACACTTGTATAGAAGACGTTTAACTGTATCTTCTTCAATATTAATAATGATTGGACGGTTATTTTAAAGACTTTAAAATTCAATAAAATAATTTTAGATTAGTTTGTTTTTATGAATTATAAATTTAAACTTCTTAAAGTAGCGTTTAATATTAGAACAGGAAAGAACATTCTAAAGAAAGCGGGTTGATAAGGGCCAATTTCCACCCATCAACTACTTGTTATGACATATTTTACTAGCTTTCGCTCGCGTGGTTCATAGGGAAATGTTTAGTCTGATAAGAAGTATCCTTTATTCTAAGTCAGCTAATACCATATTTCATCAAAATCCGTCCAGTAGTTTCGGCATGATTGACGGACAAACATCCAAACAAAGAAACTTTCACATTTATAATATTAATAGGATACTATACCTCATAACAGAATTCATATAATAATAAGAATAAGGATTATATGAACGTATATTGATACAAATTAAACCTTATTCCCCATTTTAGTACCGAAAGCAGTAAGGACCAGAAACTTATATTGCAGCCTTCCAGACTTCTTTTTGGCGCCCTTCTTACGCTGGCACCAGCCCCCCCTCCCCTGAAACCGGCCCTTTTGCCATTTCGTACTGTTGATCACTACTGTACCGTCGATAACTGGCCACATTATGTAGTGTGTGAGCATATTCGAAACTTGACTTTCTGACTTCGGTTGAATTGTGGCGCCAGCAAAAAAGAAATTCTACCTTTTTTTAATCCAAATATTAGCAAAACGACTTGCATATAAATAGGATAAAGTCAGTATACATGTTCTGTAACTTCTATTGCGACGACCAAGATGATCCAGTTACGCTAAGCGGTTCTTTCTAGAGATGAAACTTTTATAGGTATTTTAAAGGTTCAGTATCTCTGGATGCAAATGCAGAAGGCTCTATAGATGTATACTCCATTCATTATGGCATTAGACAGAATGAAAATAAGGTTCTTTTTATGGTATACTTTGTGAGAAAATGTCAACAATCATGTTACTCTTAAGACTAACGGGTAATTTGCTACATATCCACTTAAATACTAGCTGCTATACTTAAGCGTTGTCTTTTAAGCTATATATTAAACAAATTTATGAGTATTTGACTGACTTAAAACATTTAATAATTATTACAATAAAAAGTGTTCATCTTAAAGAACCTAAAGAAGCAGGGTTAGATAGTTTCGGCACGATTCTCATGTCACTATAACTCTACCAAATTTAAAAGTTGCCTAATCCTTTCAAACGTTTCGGCAGTACAGCTTTTTAATGTTTTCATATTATGATTTATTTATAATAGTCAAAATACGTAATCTGGGATTGTCATTCATTGTGAATGCTACTAAATACCATGCCTTTCTTGTTGTTTTGCCATTTTCAGTGATTGAGTAATTACTGTTTTATTGTTGTTTTCTTATAGTTTTGTTTTAGTTGTTATCTTTTTGTTGTTAAGTTTTGCTAAATTGCGATTCCGGTGCAGGCTCGAGTGGCTTACAACAATTACCTTTGAAATTTTAGCAAGGTTTTCCAGTCTTAATCAATAGTCTAATAATATCTGAATAAATGTTATAACAGTAATAATAAAAAAATCATTTTGTTGACCTTTATTTTCTGGGCATAGATATAACTAAATTATATTCTAATTATATACACTTACAATTAGAATCAATCAAAACAACAGATAGTTTTATTTCCATGTTGGCTCTCAGTAAAAGATGAATTTAGAAAATGCTAGTCTCACCTCAACCCCGAGAAAATGTAAAATTTTCCAACTCTTTCAGACTACCTAAAATTCAAAATTTCAACAAAACTATTATAAATATTTTTTAAATTTATCTTATAAATAAAATGATCTGCACTGCTGCTTCTGAGATCCTCTTTTTTCTAATGTTATAATGAATGGAGTATAGATAAGATTCAGAGAACAACATCAGGATGCATTCATCCTGATATTGTTCTTTGAATCTTCTCTCCACTCCATTGAGTGGTGTACGCTCACTAGGATGTTATGTGATACCAAAATGCCATTAACAATGAAAGGCAAGGTGAATAAAACGACATTGAGACAAACTCTGGTATATGGCAGCGAAGTATAAGCTACTAAAAATATACACAAGCGGAAGTTGTGCACTACTGAAATGCGTATGCTGAGATGGACTGGCGGAGTGACACTTACGGAATACACAACGAATACATAGAGTCTGGCAAGCGAAACGTGTCACAAGAAAAGGGCGGCAATTTCAAAAATTCTTAAGCAGTAAACACTGAATGTAGTACTGCAAAATAATTTTGATACTTTTATTAATTATATTTAATCTTAACATTTAGATATCAATTAAAATTATTTGTTTTGGAACATTTGACTAAAGCGTGACTGTTCTTAATTGTACAGTTAACAGCATATCAGTAGGCCTATTCACTAACTCAACTGACAACCAAGAATCGTCATCACCGTAAAAAATAGACACTTTGATTGTGTCAAAATCACTATTTCGTATTCTCTATCAATGATGAGCAATTTCGAAATGTCAATATCGGCATTCTCCACTGGACTCCATTTTGACACTTGATTTCGTATCGATAAACTGTATTAAAGTAACATTGTTGCAAAGCATATTTGAAGTCGTCGCATAGTACCTCTTAAGCCATTTGTTGTTAAATTAAAGCGAAAAAAATACGTATCCAATATTTTTCTATTATCTGACTGACGGACTAAATCGAATCTTTTTTTTAACCCATTCGTTATACCTATTGGCTAACAGCACTTATAATATTAAAAATTCATATTTGTCATTAATTAAAAGGGTGTTTTTTGCAACGACTTCTTTGTTTTTTTGTAATGAATATGGGCGACTCTGGCCACATTTTTTTAATAAATGTGATGTTAGCCAATTTTGATTTCTGGCCCTTATATTTATAATGTGTTCATAACACATACATGTCTCCTAAGGGATTTTCATCACAACCTTTTGCTCTGATCCAGAACCACTATCTATCAAATTAAATTAGTCAATATAAACACCAGATTACAATAAAAAAAACATTTATTTTTGTTACAATTAAGTGCCATGGATAAATTACATAATACAGGTGTCACAAAATCATCATGTTAATCACAATAGAAAATTTAAGATAAGATTTTGACTATGAATCAGACTAAAAATACTTTAGTCTGATTCATAGTCAAAATCTGTTTCTAAATATTCTACACCTGATAACAATGACAAGGAATCATCAGAGTCACTCTCTTCACTACTGTCTGCACCAACAGATATAATAAATTTTTCAAGTTCGTTTTCAACAATGCCATCTTTTAATTTGTAATCATTTTCGACATTTAAAACATGATCAGTGTATTTCTTCCAGTCACTAGGGGTAATTAAGTTAAAACACTCTATTATTAAGTTTTCCATTTCCTTTCCTGGTATTCCAATGTTTCTGCTTGCAATTTTTCTTTTTGCTTGACTCCAAACCATCTCTATTGGGTTTAAGTCACAATGATACGGTGGCAGCAATAAAAGTTCATGATTATGTTCTTTTAAAATCTCTTCAGCTTCATATACAGGCAATGTTTTCTTATCATTAACCAAACACATTAACTCTGCCTTTGTCTGATATTCCTCAAAATGTATTCCATTATTTACAAGCCATTTACGGATATCTGCTTTGGTATTAGACATTATAGGCGGTTTATTGATTTGTTTTATATGGTAGCTGGCATTATCCATAACAATTACACTGGGCTTACTTAAATTTGGTATTAATTTTTCTCTGACCCATTTCATAAAGTTCGATGAGTTCATATCATCATGATAATCAGCAGATTTGGATTTACTACTGAACACTAATAATGCACCAGGCACAAAACCTTCCTCAGATCCAGCATGCACAACAATATGCCGTTTTCCAGAGGATATCTTTGTAGTGACACCAGTTGTTGAAGGTCCTTGCCAAGACTTTTTAACTTTATAATTCTGATGTACATAAGTTTCATCAAGGTACACAATTTGCTTTCCTTCGTTTCGTTTTATATTTATTTCTCTCAAATACTTGTGCCTCCATGCAGAAATCTGGTATTTTTCTATAAGCATAGAACGTTCATTTTCATTGCTTTTAAAAGAAAATCCATTCTTAAGCATAATTTTTCGTAAAGTCTCACGGCTACCACTGAATCCTATTGCATCTTTTAATTCATTGTGAAGGCTTCTTAATGTTGGAACAATTTTTTTCACACAGTAAAATTCATTTACTTTATTCCGAATTGCACTTAAATCAAAATTATCTAAAGCAGACACTGTTGGTTGATGAGGTCGTTTTTTCCCAGGAGTGTCCCATTTTCCTTTATTAATTAATGCTTCATTTTTTATCCTTCTTAGTGTCCTTATACTTACATCTATAAAAGATTAAACACTTTGAAACAAAGATATGTTAAATGTATTTAAAAGCAAATAATGATAGACACATACATCAAAATAATTTAAATACCTATTCAACTATGAATGCAATTTATGTTTAATTTAGTTAAGTTTATGTGCATATTTAGCATGTATAACAATTACATGGTTTGATTAGTTTCATGAATTCTGTGAATTTCCTTGTTAAACAAAACATTCTTATGACATCATTGGATGTCAACAATAAAAACCAATACATCATAAAAAACCTATGTAAATATTATAGGAATACTATCAATCTATCTTAAATCAAAACAAGAAAAGAGACCTGTCATTGAAGAAATTTTTTGTAAGTACTGCGTTTCCGAATTCAGCATTTCTTGTTTTTCTAAAGTTTTTATTGCATTTATCTCCTCCATTATTGGTTGAATATCACCATCACAGTTATCTGAAATAGAGCAATATTTTATAAAAAATATCTGTTTAGTTAATTACAGAAAATTAAAACGAAAGTATCAAAATTATAATACAAAACTAACCTAAAAAAGATACAACTTTATCTAATCGTTGTAATTTCTCCATGAAATTTTTATTTAATTCAGTTTTCACTTCAGTAAACTTGTCAATCATGATGGAAAGAAGTTTCCTCGATGAACTTTTTATCGGCTTCGACATAATTTTTAACCAAAAACACAAGTTCAAATTCGCAAAAACAACAAAATTCAATATTCTTGAATTGTCTAACGTAGTGTCAAACTGACAGTTCTATGTTGTTGCCATATGAAAACGGAAAAATAGGTGGTGTCACGTTTCGCTTGCCAAACTCTACGAGAAAGCTGTTAAGTTGTCCTATAAACGACCAAATATATGAAGCGACGCTCAGATGGTACGGTCACGTGATGAGAAGACCCAATAATTATGTTGTGAGAAAATGCCTTTCCATGGCTACAAAGAAAAGGGGAAGGGGAAGACCCAGACGACCTCGCTGGCAAACATCCTTAGGGACATGAAGCGTCTCGGACTCAGAGGAGAGGATATCAGCCAGATGACTAGATAGCGCCGCATGAAAATAAAGGCAGACTTCGTGTAACAGGAAAAGGCGAGAGCAAAGAAGAATGTCATTAAAATACCTATAATGCGAACAGCAAGGGATCTAAATGCGTTCCTTGTGGAACCCGAGAACTATTTCTTCTGAGACATGAAACCTGCCAGAACCGCTCACTGATTTCCATTCTCAACATACGATTTAATCCAGTGGTAAAGATCGACATGTAAGTATTTGTAATATTTGAAAGCTCAATAACATTTTTCGACAAACATTAAAAAAGGCACTACATCTTTATCCATTGTATTAATAATAATGAAGTATCTCGAAGAAAAAATAAGCAAATCACTATCAATCAACAGAACGCTCCCTGTAAAACCCACGATGGTTTGGCGTAATATGCCGTCGAATTTCAATTGTTTTTTTTTCATATAATTTACTTGCTATCGGTCGGTATTTCAATGTCCCTTTGGTAAAAGTTATCTGAGCCTCCTTCCAATTAACCTGCCTATATCACCCGCGTATAATGTAGCGTCCTGTAATTCGATCAACAACAAAGCCTAGTTGAAAATACTTACATTATCGGATCTAGTATTTCCGAAGATTACTCTTACGAAAAAACCTTTTTATAATATTAGTATAGAATGGTTCCTTCCTATACACGATCACCGAGATCCCTACCTATTGTAGGTAGTCCCGTCAAACACTTGCTTAGAATATGTCGGATAGGTTAGACAAGACTCATTTCATTTAATTAAATCTATATAGGCTATACCTACCGAAATTTATTGACTTTCTCCAGGATAAGTAGCTAACTACATCCTCAAATGAGGCTTGAAATAGGGGATAATAGTTTTTAATAATTATATAATTTATGCGACATCACATAAGTACATTGCTCAGATTCCAAGATGGGTAGCTAAAACCCCCGTATGATGATCGTATATATGCTCCATAATAAACACACTTACGATTTTTGACTTACAAGTGTTTAAAGCACACTCACATCCGACTTCATAAATGTTATATTTTAAACAGGTAACTAAGGTTTTTACAGAAATGAAACATCATGTTTTTTTGACAATACGTGTATAATCGTAGTAATTTTATTATTTCCCACCACCAAGATTGTTACCCTTTCCCTTTATATATCCCATATTTCTTAAGTAACGTACAATAAAAGGAGTAGACGCTAGAGTTATGGCCATCCTAACAGGTGCAAAACATTTATGTACAGCATATGCTATCACAAACGTTCCAGCATTTGAAGATGCCACTTTAGTTAAGGTGCCTTCACCAATATTAAAATGTTTCAAAATCTCCACTAGGTCGATTCCACTGAAAACAATAAAAACATATTAACACAAACTTATAATGAGTTTCTCAGATCACAATAAACACTATCTACACTATAATTACTTTGGTATTTGCGTACCAATACTGTTGTTTAAACTACTTTTAGCTTTAGTCATGTCAAACTGCGTTTTCAAGTGTAAAAATTACTAGGATAACCTTAAGCAGGGATTTCACTAGACAGGCATACCCACCTCGCTACTATAGGTCTGTAAAATGTCTGCAACAAAATCTTACATTTGACAGACATGCCCACCCTATAGTAGAGCTCTGGCGGGTGTGCCACTCTAGCGAATAACTCGCTTTATACAAAAACATAATAGCAGAAGATACCTATGGCACTTCTATAAAATCATCAACTGTAAACAGGTATAATGCACAACTACATGATCGCACACTCAAACAGCTTATATTCTATTTCAGATTCAGTTCGAATACTTTGAATTTAATTGAGAGATTGTATATTTCTATCTCATTCTGCAAAATGGTGATCAAAACAATGAGTTTAGTAATATAAGAAAGTTTAAGTTGTCCTATATCTACAAGTGAAATGTGATTCAATGAAATTAGTTTTAAATAATTTATGCAATGCATAAAAGATCAAGCACACATTTTGGTAACTTTTATCCTCATTAATATAATAAATATTTTTGCTTAACAGGCATGCTTATGCAAATTGTGGAATGACATCAGGTGATGGGGACCTGATATAAGCAGTGCACTTGCTATGGAAGAGTCACCATCTTCCACTATTTTGTTTTAATCTAAGTAGGTATCAAAGAGAACTTATTATAAGCAGTATACTGGAAAAACCAATGAGCTCTTCAGAGCACACTCCATAGCTTTGATTTAATTTATATCAACATTCACCTTCATGATAATGAAGAATAAAAAAAAATGCTAAAAATTTACCAGTCCAACATACTCTAGATGAGTCTGGTGAAATTTTTTTAGCATTTTTCAAAGATATATTTTTTTACATAGCATTGAACATTCATCAAATTTAATAATTCATACTATTTTTTTATAACATATCTTAAGGGAGATTGGGCTCTCTACCAATAATCTATGTCAACTTCATAAATAATAGAATATAATTGAATTTGTAAATTATTACCATGAAAAAGTGAAAAGGATCAATAAAACATACCTAGATATTAAAAGATAACATCCCCCTAAAGACATTAATGAAATAGTAACATGAAATACAATCACTGTTGAGCCATAGTCTTTTATAGCTTTCTTCAATTTTTCTTTTGAGCTCATTGGAATATTAGCATCTTTGCTAAATGTAGATTTTGCATCTGTACCCATATTCCTTCTTCCAATGCAAACAGCTATGCTTTGAAAAAATAATGGAACACACTTAATAAACATAACTGTTCTAATGGATTTTCAAGGCCATAGTACTGTCACTTTAGCATTGATAAATAATTTAATAAATAAAATAAAAATAATTTAATTATACATACCTGAATTATTTTGTGTCTCTCTATATTCATTTCTTAATGTCAGGTAATGTGCACTTTGTAAATGGTCTGACAAATATTTATATCCTTGTCCCCACTGAGAACCTGGCATATTAAGGTGAGTGTGATTTCCACTGAAAGGGCTTGGAACATTGCTTTGCATAGAAGAAGATAAGCTGACAGCTCCATGGCAGTCATATTTATTAACATGTGGATCTATTTGCAGAGTTACATCTATCTTATAGAAATCTTCACTTTGTTTTTCGTAATATGAACTTATAACGGGACCGGCAATATCTCTTGCTCGCAAAGGCGAAAATCTAGACATTTCCGCTGAATTTATATCCACGACATTGGTAGGCAGTTTCAGTGCAACTTGAGGATACTTGTAAGTTGGAGATACGTGTAAGGTTTTATCCAAACACTTGACATCACCGCCTTATAGAAAAAAACAAAGAATTTCAAACATACAAGTTCAGAGGCAGATTTAATTGTATCGTAGTCCAGCCTTACCATAAAATGTATTGGCAATATAGTGCCTCCCGTAGGAATGTATGTTAGATCTTGAATAAACTTTATACATATTTGTAGAATTTGAAATTAACTTAACAACTATATATAGATATTTATCGCTAATGCTTTGTTACAAAAAAAATGTAAAATGAACTGACATTTTGTTCTGAAGTTGACAATTACGTCACAAATTCTTTTCTCACAACCACAGATAAGCAATATGTAGCTAGCACAACACAAACTAACTAGTAGCATCACTATTTTAATTACCGAACACTCATATAGTAATACAGAATGCGATATATTATCAATGTCAAGAAAACGCGATATCGTTATCGAAAAATACTAACAACGCGGTTTTACTTAGGGTATGTTCCGATATACACTGCGACCACTGAACAGTATGACGTCAATTTAGTATACTGGAAGCCCGTTCCTTTATAGCTAGTTATACTGGTGACTTTTTAAAACGGAACGCAGTCCAGCCATTTTCAAATTTGTTAATGCAAGGTGAATATAAATAAAGATTCCCTCTTTTCAAAAGAAAATATTATAAAATTGTGTATAAAAAAATTATTTATCAATTAAATCCATCTTATAATAAACGTAAGTATTTTTTTTTGTTTTTTTAGAAACTTATCATTTTCTGATTCTGTTTTGACTGATCACGTGATCAAAAGCACTGCGAGCACCTTACCTCGAAATCTCCAGTGCTCACAGTACAAATATGGCGGCAATTTATGACGTCATAAATTTCCCTAGGGTACTGTAGCAGTGTACTGGCAGTCCATAACGGAACGGATTTTTCAGTAGTAAGACCACTGCGCAGTGCTCGCAGTGTATATCGGAACATACCCTTAGTATACTGGAAGCCCGTTCCTTTATAGCTAGTTATACTGGTGACTTTTTAAAACGGAACGCAGTCCAGTATACTGTTAATCCTATTTTTTGGCGCCATTTTCAAATTTGTTAATGCAAGGTGAATATAAATATAAAGATTCCCTCTTTTCAAAAGAAAATATTATAAAATTGGAAAATTGTATAAAAAAAAATATTTATCCATCTTATAATAAACGTAAGTATTTTTTTTGTTTATTTAGAAACTTATTATTTTCTGATTTAGTTTCGACTGATCACGTGATCAAAAGCACTGCGAGCACCTTACCTCGCTAATATTCCGTCTTATATATGGCGGACGAAAAGTGGGGCAAGACTCGCGATATCGGCTTTCGTACAAAGGATGCATAATCGACTTTCTTACCTCTTTTCTGTGTTTTGTACAAACGAACAAAGAGCTAGATAAAAAAAACCAGAGCATTCTTTCTTGTACTTCTAGTGTCAACAAAATCTTATTTTTAAATGTTTATAGCAAAATAATAACAATGAGCAAGGATTCATATTCTCGAACCAAGAAATAACAATGAGCGTATAAGTCGTATCAGAACACGCCATGACGCTCTTTCGCTTTCTATCTCCCTCTAGTGCAGTTTCCATCAAGCGAGCGAGCATTCTTAGAATATTCCAAAGAATCTTTGTGAACGCAGACAGAACAACGAAAGAATACTCTAAAAATATTGTGGAGATATCTAGCTCTTTGTTCGAGAAGATAATTCTTGCTCGATGATATTCTGTTATGACTTCGGGGATAACCATTAATGACAATTTAATTCACAATCCGATTCTTTATTTAACAATGAGAACTTCACTAATTAAGAAGTTTAAAAGAAAGATACCTACTCACTATTATCTATGCTAATAGTTTCGGAATAAAGTGACTGTGATATACTAGCGAACACACAGACAGACAAAAAGACATTTACGATTTTACAAGAGTTCCAAGATTTATTGACCAGGGCAAGCTTTCTTTCATTGGTCGATAGGGAACGCATGCGAAATGCGGTGATTTCTGTGCTTAATTTCATTAAACGATCACTAACTCTTATCAGCTTACCGACTAGTACAAGCTAGTTTACGTTGGTCGATGGTAGCCACATGCGGAGTGAGGATGATTTTTGTGCTTATTTGCAGTAGGCGATTATTGCCTGCTACTGTGTTTATTTTCATTGGATGATCATTGTCTCTTATTGGTTTACCGACTAGCTCAATTACATTGGTCATTGGTTAGTGTCTGCATGTGGAATGCGGACGATTTCTATGCTAATTGTCAGTAGTCAGTAGTCGACAGGATTCACATGCGGAATGCGGCAATTTCTGTGTTCACATGCGGAACGCGGTAATTTATTATAATACTTTGTATCTATTATTATCAAAATTTACTTCTTAAGACATGACAACAACTATGTGACCCCGCCTGGCGCCAAAGCTTTGGTTTGGTTCAAATAGGTTAGAAAGAACATTCCCTCGTCTGGTGTAAATCAGTCTTGATCTCTCCGAAAGCCGAGCCACGCAAAACTTATGAACATATACTCACTATTTCTTTCACACGTATACATATTTCCTTTTCGTGTTTCCTTCGCACACGCATCAAAGCTCTCGCATATAGGACACATGACAGGCTTTGTTTCTGATCCAATTTATTTAGGCGTTATTCATCTTAGAATAATAACTAAAGTATCTACATAAAAGGCGTTATGCCTTTTATTCTTAACAGTTAATAAAATTAAATTACATGTCGATCAATGTGAAGCGTTAATCTCTTATTGATGTTGACTATCGCATCAGTACGATCGCTCATGGCGATCGCCACTTCTTGATTGCTGATATTATAAAGCGAGTCTGCATAATATCTACTTTATGTAACTTGGATATGAGCGAATTTAGCTTTACCTTGGACCAATACAAGTCCATGGCTTTACTCTTAAACGTTATGGAAAATGGGCAGTTATACGTAACCTAGTGTTTTACCTAGAAATTCAATCGTCATTGGTAAAAAATATTATTTTTACAAAGTATGCATTAAAACAAATAAGAGAAAAAAATATTAGATATAATAAATAAAACAAACTTCAACATCTATGCTATTTATTATCGCTGTAAAAACGACTATATAAAATCATGGTTTAAAAACAAAGACCCTAATTGTTATCAAATCACTTATTCATTTTTAAATCTGCTACCAAGGCGACATGATCCGACGGAAAAACTATACTCGGCAATGCAGTATTCGCTTGAAGCTCTTCCACACTTGGTAAGGGTACCACCTGAAAAAAATATATGTGCATTACAAACCGCTAACCTAAAATAAGTATCTGTAATGTACACACGGATTTTGAATTCGGGTACAGTCCAATACGTATCAAGATTTATAATCGACTAGGAAAATTTGTATAAAGTGGCGTGCTGTTTATAGTACAATACATACAGTCCTTCTTTATTACGAGTATAATATACAATTAAGTTGGTAGTAAGGTAATTTGTACTATTTATGACTAATTTCAATTTTATTTAATATCACACATTATGTCAAATTTCATCAACTTACTTTGACCTCTACTAATAATTCATTAAGGTTTAAAATCAAGTTGACTGTTTTTGTAAAGCCCTACGTGCTGTTGATAGGGTTGCCAACTCTCCCGGAATTCGGATTGTCCCGGAGAAAAGGAAATTATATAGGCTCTAGGAAAACAGCAAAAATATCCCGGGCTGGCAACTGATGTTTGATTTATTTGAATAAGTTAAAGAAAATAACCATTTTGAAAATGGATGAAGAATTTAATTGGTATATTAAAATGGCTCGGTGACTCTTTGAATCTACGACTAAATGAAGACAAATTATAATTATGACTGCTGTTTATTTCGAGAAATTCGTGAAGTTACGTTAAATTGTTTTGAAAAATGTAAATAAAACACTGGCAAATAATGGTTACATTCAATCAATCAATCCCTATGTCAAACGCTGTCGCCGGCTGAATATGTTTTTGGCGTAGCAAATGAACTTTGAATGAAATGAGTCATCAGCGCCTGAATGAAACATTATGTAAAATCAAGTGTGCACGAATTTAATTACACATGATTTTGTTTGTAATTAAAAAGTACTACAAGCTCGCTAAGTAAAAAAATTCTAATCCGAGAGGTAAAAGTCATTACTTTTACCTCACGGATTTATGAATAACTGAGTTGGCATCCTATACCTATGTTGACGGTGCCATGTATTGTATTATTTATTGTAAAATTGTCGTTCCTATTCACGGTTTGTTCTTTGAATGAACATCGCCATTCAACATACTTTGCTATCTCATTATTTTACTAGTGAGTCAGTCCAACCTGTTCGACTTGAAGAGTAGATTTATCATAAAATATATAATCAAGACAATCAGCAAAGCCGGCCGTAAAATTTGTATATTGCGGAGTTCCGCAAGCGCTTTCTAATATGGTTTCTTGTTGCAAATTTAAACCAATAACAGCTTGTTCTGCATCTGTGAAATAGAAATGAACTTTCTTTATTATGTTAGACGTTGCAGTTATATCATAAAACATATTTATTCGAAAGCCGTATTATTAGCCGTATTATTATTGGAAACGCAGCCGTTTTGTAATGTGCCTACTTTACGTTGAGCAGAATTTTAAGTCCTTTGGAGGAACGTTTGTTTGATGAATCTATTCAATCGATATAATTAGTTCATAAAGGGCTAGTTGACTACTTTTTATTTTATAAATAAATAGTCCATTTATATTTGAGAAATAATGTGAAGTAACAGCATGTCTACGATTAATAGTTTCGGAGATACGGTACTATGTTTGTGGAACTGCTGTTAGTCTGTCGAAAACGCTCCAAATTCAAGCTACGAAGTGTCGTCACGCCTTGCTACGGTAGCGTAAACCGTATGGGCGTCTGGACAATCTTTGTTATTTGTGCATTTATAATTTTTATAATGTAAGTTATTACATTTTATGTAAGTGATATAATGCCGTATAATAATAATAGTATTTTATCAATTTTTTGTAGTATATTTTCCCTCCTTTTTTTAAGTTCTCAAAGCGTCGTTATATTTTTCATATTAGTATTATAAATATAAATGTTGAAATGGTTTATATTTTCTGACCTGTATTTTCACATGTAGGGCACATTCTTATTGTATAGTCAGCCTACATTGCTTCTTCTAAACATCGTGGCTCTTCGTTGGACGACGATTTATAGAAGTTATGGCCAATTCGCTACCCTTTATTCGGCTCAATTTATGATATGGCTGCGACATATCGACCGGGATAGTACATCATAAAGTGAATTATAAATACCTACTATCTCAATTAAAGTCAGCTCTTAATTGTAAGTGTTAGTTACGCGGTACTGCACTATTTCCGAATATAAATCTTAAGTCACAAACTCGATGTACCTTTTTTGTATGGATTATTTTAAATAAAAGATACTAAGTCGTATAATCTTACTTGATTTCCAGTCTGGTAGTGTGCTGCCAGAAAAGCCGGTTGTATACAACTGGTATATACCACAAGAAGGGACACTATTGAAATCTCCGCATAATATCATAGATATTATTTTACCTGGTAACTAAGCAATAACAAATCATAAATAAATATTTGTAATTTTAAACAATATCTATTCATATTTTAAAACATAATAGACAAAACGTAAGAAATTAATTACCTTTTCCGATAGTTTTCGGCGAATGTCATTCAACCAATAAATGAAAACTCCTCCTTGAATGAGTCTAATATGATCTGAATCAGGATGAAAATATAAGTGAGTATTACCCACAATAATTAAATAATTTGGATCATCTATTGACTGCAAATACGTTGCACTAGCAACTGTAGATCTATCTAAAAGTCTTTCTAATAACGGCCCATTATCTTTGATTCCGTCCCATATTGATTGCAGGCAAGATATCTCCTTTAACGCTTCTGATAATCGTATTTTTTCATCTCCTATAACCCTTTTAAATAAAACAATTATGTAGCAATCATCCCAGTCTACAGTAAACTCTCACAACATTCAATATCAGCCTCTATAGTTAATTTCAACATTTCTATTATTCGTCTATACCTACTAGGTGCTTAACTGGTAATCGGTGGAGGTCCATGGAGTGGAGGTTTTATTTATAAATATATGATGTTTGATGTGTCATATTAAACTAAGTGGGTAGCTATGACAATATAGGAATTAATTATGTCCACGTTTATTCTCCGTACCGCTCCAAAGAACTGTACTTGACGTAGGATTTACATTACCTTTTTCGAATAAGTTTTATTCTAATGATTGACTAATAGTTGACAAATAAATGTACATTTGGGATGGGTTCTGTATTCATTAGACCCCCCATCCAGCCTCAGAATAGCTCAAGTCTGCTCTCTTTTTAACTACAATCAGGGTTGACACTGTGGTTGACACCTTTCGAGAAAAAATCGGGACTTTTGAACGGTCATCAAGGTGATTAGTGTAAGTTTTGTGACGTTTACCTTCACCGTCGATCGTGAGCACGTTAAGATTTAAGTATTTACCGGTACAACGTCCCTAGCGGTAACAACCAAGTATTAAAATTCTCAATAGAAATTCTTAACGCATTCACTAGGGTTAACATAAAACTTACACTTACCACTCAGAAATAAACGGTCTTCAATTTAATGTATGTCATAGGAAATATAAAAAAAAATATTATTAGGATGTGGATAACATCGTGCCGGGACCCGCATGGGGATACGTAAGGTGCGATTGGAACGACTGTAAGAAAATAATAAAAATCCGAACAAAACTAATAAGAAATCGAGAGGCGGGACAACTTCGCTATTAGACTATCCTAGAAAATTCGGATAGCAACCGTGGCTTTAATGAAGTTTGAATGCAGACAAACCGCTTCATAGTAATAGAGCATCATCTATAGACAACAAAAAAGTAACTCGACTAATAAGTGTATTAAAGCTTATAATAATTAACACGTCCATAGCCAGCAGTGTAACTATACCGTTTGAGGCCCGTGGTAAATTTATCGGATATTTTTTTTCACTAATTGCGTAATAATAAATGTCAGGAGTAACGAGTCTCCTCTGACCGGAGGCCCCTTCCATCTGGGGGTCCGTGGCATTTTGCCAACTTGCCATCCTGTAGTTACGCCACTGTTCATAGCCGTATCACGCGACGTCGCATGATGCGGCCATTTATGCTATGGCAGGTAACGCGATGTCGCGTTATGGTCCCTTTATCTTTTACTAGCCATAGAGCACCGGGCGTTCCATAATGGTGGGGATAGAATGAGCATTCGCTCGTTTGGTTTAAATCGGTCTTAAGTGCAAAATTTTAGCTTGGCAATGACCATGGTAAATATTAATAATGTATAAAAATTAGTATTGATGTGTTAATAATAATAGTGAAAAAGAACTTATTAATGTGAGCATTTTTAACATATGATAGCAAAACAAACATCAGTACTTACTCAAATCTGTCATGTCTGTAAAATAATGCTAAGCCTTCAGCTACTTCTTTAGCCTTCTTGTAGAATAAACCATTTAAACCTTCATTTTGTAACAAAGGTTCTAAATGATGGTTAAATATTTTAGCATCCACTTCTTGAAGACAGATTATATCAGCATTGTACCCTGAGAAAACATAAAATATATGTGGTCTTTATAAAATTTCATTTGGAAAAATTAAGAGCACTGAAGTTCATTGAAATTGAACAATGAAACTCAATGAATGAAATTTAATAAGTATAATCCAATCAAACCATTTAAAGTATTTAAATCTTTTTTTTTAAATCATGAATGTTCAAAATTTATCCTCATGAAAATATTTATCCAATGACAGCGTTTGTCTTGTCGCGTCCGATCCGATGTCATAGAGTTCGTCCCGTACGAATGTATATCAAACATATCTGTATTATCTAAGCGTCTGCTGCTACCTGACAGACATACTTGACTGGCGGACTATTTATTACTTATATTAACACATTAATTGTATTATAATCAGTTGCAACAGTTTTATCATCAGTCATCAAAACAATTTATAAGTATATTTTTGAAATTCAATTCATACTCACCCTGCAATTCTTTGAAAATAAGAAGTTTCCTATAATCAATGTGTAATGCATAAACAGGGCAGTATGGAAACAATGATGTTCTTGTGTGATCGGAATCACAATATAAGTCTGCCAATATGTTATAAGTTATACAACGGAAACTGAAACATCAGAGATTTTTTGTTAAATTTATCTATGAAAATTGAAAATCTAAACTGATTGAAATATAGAAGATAATGTAATACGAAAATTGATCATAATTTAATGGATTAGATGATAAATTTATTTTTGCAAAAATAGTTGGAACAAAATATGCACTTGAGTGAGAACAAGTAATGATTCAGTTTTGTTTATAATTTCAAGATCAATCAACGTATCTCGAAAACGATTTAATATTTATAATAACACATATTGTTTTATATCCTTTTTCTTTAATAAAATTTTGCAATTACTCAATTTTTTGTAAGTTAAATTATGTTTGCAGCCTTTGTACCGTTTTTCTACCTCTGACCCAGGTCTATGGGAGGTGATAGTAGGAGCGCTTTCCCTAGGTGTCAATGTCAGGGTGGCGCCATATTCATGTTTTATGGTAAAAACAAAAAAAATAAAATGAATATACTTTAAAGGCTTAACTGACAGTTTATAGGTTCAACCTATGTGTTTTTAAAGTGCCTTAATGAACCAGAATAAAAAATCATACACAAAATATAGTCTTACAAAAGCCAGCATCACATAATTTGGGGGAGGTGTATGGGCACAGCATCAAGTTTTGCACTGGTTGGAAAAAATCATAGAGCCAGGCCTGTACTACTCTGAAATATTGATATATTTAAACAAACCTTTGGCCTTTTAATTTAGTTTTAGTGAACATGTGCCTTGTCTCAAAAGGGCACTTTCCTGGACCAGCTTCAACAAAATTTTTAGATATAACTTCAACAGGAGGGCCACTGCTATTTTCATTACCTAAAATGAGATAAAATTTGAAACCCATAAAGATTGCCAAAAGAGTACCTAATAATATTTCTACATAGTACAAAAAGTCACTTTCCATTGTCTCTGTGCTGAGAACTTTTAAACTACACAACAAATTTTAATCCGGACTCTGTCTGTATGCAGTGTGATTCAAGGTTTATATAAATATGGACAACACAAGCAAAGCAGTCGGCTGTAAGCTTATTATGGAATATAGCATAGCTTTTTGTGAATTCTATCTTTCCTTTTTTGATGGGTCCTCAAAGTAGCATTTATGCTGATGCTGTAAAAGGTAAACTAAACTTCTGCAATCAATTTTGAACTAAACAATCAACAAGTTATAAATTCAAATTGATTGACATAATTTGACTTGTTGTAGTATTGATTGATGTGCTGTTAACTGTACATATTAAACAAAACTCAAAAGTAAAAATTCACTCACTACAAATCTCACTCTAACCTAACAAAAGTTAGTCTTACCTGGTATACATACTAATTTAAGTTTCATTCCTATATCTTCAGTTTTTGGGTTATAAATAAAGTTTCCTCCCACTAATTCCCATTGTACATGAAATTCACTAATATCATTACCTTTTTCATTTTTAGTCAAACCTTTGTACCAGTTAAAACTGCATAATTTTCTATCAGCATACTGAATAACAAAATTTTCAGGATATACTGGAAATCCTTCCAAAATACAAAGCGGCAAATTAATACTAACTACCCAGGGTGCATTAAATACAGCTTCATATATGCTATCATAGATTTTTATTTTTACAGGGCCTTTAGCTGAAAATAAGTCTAAACAAGTAGACTGTTCATTAAGTGAATCCTTATCTGTATCATACAAGTTAACATTTATTTCTGTGCAATCACACGGAGATTTTTTCTTAGTTGCCTTCTTAAGAGCTTTTTGAACATTAGCACCCATACGAGTAAACAAAGTTTCTAATGTTTCTGTGGGTTTCCGACTCAGATTAAATTGTCTTGTTGTTTCTTTCACTTTAAATAAAAATGTTATGTCTATTTTATTTTCATTCTCTATATATCTGAAATAACACTTATTAATATTCATCTTCTTTGACTTCGATAAATTAATTGCAATAGAGAAAAAATTACGTGTAACTTTGAAAATCTTGATAAACATTATCAATATAATCTGTGTTATCAATTATCTACACAGACTTAGTAGGTATTTATCTATAAGCAAAACTTCAAAACTCCCACATCCACATTCCACTTTTTTTTATGGCTTGCACGGTTTGTGTATTAGCCACACACGACGAGGTTTAAAAGGTAGGGAAACCATTTTGAGGAATGCAATGTAGGAGCGGAATTTGGAAAGGATAATAGGATCAGGATTCAAATAAATATTAGAAATATATTATGATATATATTTATAACTGAATATTCTGTTATGAAATTAGATATTAACTTATAAGTATAATTTAAAATTAATACAGTTTAGACGCATCGCAATAGATATATAAAATAATTGATGGAACAATTTGAGTAATCGACTAAGAACACTGACAGTAGTCACCATATAAATTTCAGATTGATTTTGACCGAGTTGGCAATTTGGGAGCTTTATAGCATGTATGGACCGTTTGTGTATCTTTATCCAATCTACATGGTGAGAAAAAATTTCCAATATTTTCGCCACACAAAAAGCAAATTAAGCGAGTGAAGCGAACCATAAAGAGAGACCATTACGAGACATCTGGTCAATCGGTTAGGTTAGGTTAGAACTGTGACCAAAACAAAAAGCGAGTGAAGCGAGCCATAAAGAGAGACCATTACAAGACACCTGGTCAATCGGTTAGGTTAGGTTAGAACTGTGAATAAAACAAAAAGCGAGCGAAGCGAGCAATAATAAATGGAGACCTGCACGCGTAGCATGACGAACTCGAGAACGTTTTGTCTACGCCGAAATGTCACTTTTCTCGGGTTCGCCCATACGGTATCTCACTGTCGACCCGAGAAACTGACAAATGAGCGTAGACAAAGCGTTTCTCAAGTTTATCATGCTACGCGTGCAGGTCAATCGGTTATGAAACTGTGACCAAATAAAGAGCGAGCGAAGCGAGCCATAATGCAAGATCTCTAAGAGAGACCTGATCAATCGGTTAGGTTAGCACTGTGACTATAACAAAAAGCGAGCGAAGCGAGCCATAAAGAGTGACCATTAAGAGAGATTTGGTTAATTGGTAAGGTTATAACTGTGACTAAAATAAAATGCGAGCGAAGTAAGCCATAAATGACACCATCAATAGAGACTTAGTCAATCAGTTAGATTAGAACTGTGGTCAATCGCTTAAGGAACTGTGACCAAAATGAAGAGCGAGCGAAGCGAGCCATAAAGGGTGACTTTTAAGAGAGATTTGGTTAATTGATAAGGTCAGAACTGTGACTAAAATAAAATGCAAGCGAAGCGAGCCATAAAGGTACCATCAATAGAGACCTGCACGCGTAGCATGACGAACTCGAGAACGTTTTGTCTACACTCAAATGTCACTTTTCTCGGGTGCGCCCATACTATATCTCACTCTCGACCCGAGAAACTGACAAATGAGTGTAGACAAAGCGTTTCTCGAGTTGGTCATATTAAAGAAATGATAAAGCTCGGATTGGAAGTATAAAATACGAGTATAATAGCAAAACATAAAGACAGATACAAACAGGAATGACAGACACGTCAAGTAGGTACAAAACACTAAAGAGATCGAAAAACTACCAAGAAGTCTTCACTTCTTAACATCCCGTCTCGTTTTTCAAACCTATTTGTAAGCAAAGTTCTTTCAGTCTTGGCTTGAAAAGTGGTTTCGTCAGGAAATCTGCAAGCTGCTCATTTGCTTTCACTTTCAGCACCTTGAGGTTTCCCCGTGTCACGCACTCCCGAATGAAGAAATGCCGCAAACGAATGTGTTTAGTCCTCTGGTGACATTCGTAAGGTGGGTCGTGGGCCAAGCGGATAGCTGACTCGTTATCAAGATAAAGTTCTGATGAGACTTCTCCAGCTACCATGAACTTCATAATCTTTTTTAGCCATATCAGCTCTCTGGCCGCTTCACTGGCAGCAACTATCTCTGCCTCTGTGGAGGAAATCGCGACCGTCCTCTGTCTTTTGCTCTGCCAAGCTATGGCCCCTTTCGAGTAAAGGCAGACCATTCCAGACGTAGATTGTCCTGTAGTGGGATCTCCCCCATGATCTGCATCGCTGTAAGTTTGGATGCATTTTGACGCGGTGGAAGATTGGTATCTTATACCATTATCGACTGTCCCTTTAATGTAGCGAAAGATTCTCTTCACCTTGGCCACATCATCTGATTTTGGATTGTCTAAGGTTCTTGAGACAACACTTACAGCATACGATATGTCAGGTCGTGTCCCAATTGCTAAGTACGAAAGCGCACCAACTGCCTGTCTGTAGGGGAATGGTGCTTCTTCCTGCTCTTTTTCGGTTATTTGAATATCTTTAACTATAGGAGTTACTGCAGCCTTACAGTTTTGCATATCAAATCTCTCCAACAGACGTCTCGAGTATCCTTTTTGATCGATTTTGATAGATCCATCAATTTCCCTCTTAATCTCAATACCCAAAAAATACGAGCCAGGTTGAGTGGTAATTTTAAAACAATGTCTTAACTCACTCAAAAACTTTTCCGTTTCATTTGGGTTTGCAGACGCTATCAATCCGTCGTCTACAAATAATGCAAGGATTATTTTCTTTTCTTCAATATCCTTATTTCTAATGAAGAGGCATGGATCACTGTCGCACTGCTTGAATCCTATCTTCAAGATATATTGTGTGATGCAGTGATTCCAGCACCGAGGTGCTTGTTTCAAACCATACAAGCTTTTTTTAAGCTTACACACTTTTCCTGTTCTATCATCATACCCTTCTGGAGGTTTCATATAAATTTCCTCATTCAAATTTCCGTAGAGGAAAGCCGTTGATACGTCAAATTGTGACAAAGTTAGTTTTTCCTGTGCAGCAACACTTATTAATGCCCTTACAGTGCTTAATTTTGCTACTGGGCTAAATGTCTCGTAGAAGTCTACTCCTTCCTTCTGAGTATAGCCCTTGACTACAAGGCGAGCCTTATATTTTTGTACTGTGCCATCCGGATTGGTTTTGATTTTATACACCCACTTGCAAGGAATCGCTTTCCTCCCTTTGGGTAAATCTACCAAATCCCATGTCTGGTTTTCTTTAAGAGAGTTAATCTCACTCTCCATAGCTACTCGCCATTTATCTGACTCGGCACTTTCAATTGCTTCTTTGAAATTTGTAGGTTCTGACAGAGGATCAACAGATGAAGATTGTACGTGACAAACATTGCAGACATAATCACGATATCGATTTGGCGGTCTGAGATTGCTGCGATTACGTAGTGTCATTCTGCCTTCATTCTCTACGTCGTTCACAGAGAGTTGAGCGTCATCAGCTTCGTCGTCTGTATCTTGAGCATCAATGGAGTGTCCTCTTATAGGCTCAGTAATCGACTCCTCTTCAGCTTCGTGATACTCCATCTCAGTTGTTCTACCGATTTGATTATCGCTATTGTTTTCGTCGTTCACTAAAACTTCTAACTGTTCTCCAATTTCAGGTTCGTCATAAGCTCTACTGTTAGCAATATCTTCACAAGTTCCATACTTAATTCCTAGAAACTCAAGATTTAAATCTTGTTGTGTTTGCTTGCAGTCATCTGGAAAAATTACAGATTTGTGCTCAGGCAGACATTTGGCCTCTGGTTTGTCCTCTTCCAAACATTCAACTTCTCTGAGCAAGGGGTATTCCTCGAATATAACATCTCGTGACCTTATCAATTTAAAATTGTCACTGTCCCAAATGCGATAACTTTCGTCACCGTCATATCCAATTAGGATCCCTTTCTGAGCCTTTTTGTCCAATTTTCGACGTTTTTCTTTTGCAATATGAGGATAACAGGTTGTTCCAATCACTCTTAAATGGCTTACTCTTGGCTTTTTGCCATGCCATGATTCATACGGCGATTTCCCGTTGTGACCCGGACCCGTTCTGTTCAAAATATATACAGATGTTAGAATCAGTTCCGCCCATAAGCTTGCTGGTAATTCCTCATGAGCGTACATCATGGCTCTTGCCATCTCCACAACTGTTCTATTTTCTCTTTCAGTGGGATTTTGTTGCGGTGTATAAGGCGTCGTAAATCTTTGTTTGATGCCTTTCTTCTCTAAAATAGTCCGAACTTTGCTATTATCAAACTCTCCTCCGTTGTCGCTTAAAATTTCTTTCACCTTCACACCAGCTGTTTCGACTTCAGCTAGCATTAGTGATAATTTTTGATAGACTTCTGACTTTTCATGCATTACATATACCCAACGGTATCCAGTATAGACATCCTTGAAAAGCACGAAATAACGATTCTTCGCAAAAGATACAGGGAAAGGTCCACAAACGTCTGTACAAATCAGTTCCCCAGGTCGAGTCGCCTTTTCTCTGGTTCCGAACTTCAAGCGATGAGACTTACCGTAAATACAGCCTTCACAAAGCTCGTGATTTGCTTCCGTTTTAATATTGAGCTCTTTCTCTAAAAATTTCTTGACGTGCGTTTTATTTTGATGGCCTAAACGTTCATGATACAGCTGAAGTAAATTTGGGGTAGTCAATTGGTTCACTATCATTGATGGCTTCAGGCATCTCATTTTTAAACAGTAGAGATCGCCCCCTTTCTCTCTAGTGCCAACAAGTCGTTTCTCACCATCGACTTTCATAACGCATGTTGTCGGAGTTGACTCAAAGGTACTATTATCTGAGTTGTCATGGGCAGCTAGCACAGAAAAGAGATTTCTGCTGATAGAAGGGACATACCAGACATTCTTCAATGTGATTTGCCGTAGTTCTCCTTCAACTTCGGCTTCTGCTCTAATTGTGCCGATCCCCAGGGCTTGGATCTCTTGGCCATTAGCTCCTGTCACTGTATGCTTACTTTTAAAAATGCTAAAATCTACGAAAAAATCGTCTCTATTTGTTACATGGTTGGTTGCCCCATTGTCCACGTAAAAATTAGTCGAGTCTTTCACAATTTTATCAGTTATGGCCAAGATAGTCATATTAACAGCTGATGTCTTGTTCTCTGACTTCTTCGGTTTGCCATCACT